GTGTGCCTCAAGAGCTTCCGGCCACCTCAAGGATGGAGGGGGGGGGATTGCTTGCAGCGTGCGGCTCTCGCCGCAGCGCCGCGCACGTGCGCCTCAACAGTTGGCAACGGCGCCACGTATGGAAGGCGTCCCCCTTGTGCACAAGGCGGCCCTCGCCCCCGCGCCGAGCACACTCGCCTTGAAAGGCGTGCGACTGCTTCACGTCTGGAGGGCGGGCCGTCCTCAGAAGGCGGCCCTCGCCCCAGCGCCGCGCACGCGTGTGCCTTAAGAGCCAACCAACCACCTCAAGGATGGAGGGGGGTGGCTTTGCAAAGTGCGGCTCTCACCGTAGCGCCGCGCACGCGCGTCTCAACAGTTGGCAGCAGCGCCAGGTATGGAAGGCCTCTCCTTGCGCCAAATGCGGCTCCTGCCTGAGCGCCGCGCACACTCGTCTCAAAAGGTTACAGTGGTGCCATGGGCTCGTAAGTTTGAAGTGCCAGAAACGCTGTTCTGGCACGCTGTAGGGCTGTGGGGACGCAACAGTCACGTTGATCTGCGACGTTGGAGTCCCGGGCATGGTGTTGTGGCAGTGTATGGCTGTCAGGGCACAACAAGTCATGCCGATTCGCAGCGTCGAGGTTTCGGGAATAGTGTGTTGGCACGGTTCTGCATTCTCAGACGGGTGCCATTGAATGGGCCACTCCCAGCACGGGAACAAAAATCTTGGAGGGCCCCGTGCTGTATTGGGCCTCGTTGGAAAGGGATCGGCAAACAAATCCCGAGGCGTACCCAAACCTTTCTCCACGCAAGGCCAACATGTGTATGAACGCTCCATACAATATGTATATATATACATATCCATATATATATATATATATATATGTCTAACACAAAACCAGTCAACAAAAAAAACAAACAAACAAAAATATATGCACAATCAGCGCTGCCCTCACCTCCGCCGTGCCTCCCAGGAGCCCACGAAAACGGCGACAATTGCGTAGCTCGTAGCTCCAACGGAGCCGCGAGATCTCGGCTGGATCCGCGTGGCCCCGGATCCCGCTGGATCTCACATGAGCCCACGAAAGTGGCGACAGTTGCGCAGCTCGCAGCCTTCCAGGGATCAGCGAGGTCTCACATGGGTGCGCGTGGCCCCCGACCCCGCTAGACATCCCAGGAGCCAACGAAAGTGGTGACGGCTGCTCAGTTCGAAGCCTCCCAGGGGGCAGTGAGGTCCCAAATGTGTCAGCGTGGCCCCCGACTCCGCTGGACCTCCCAGGAGCCCGCGAAAGCGGCGACGATTGCGCAGTTCGCAACCACCCAGGGAGCAGCGAAGTCTCAAATGGGCGCGAGTGCCCTCCGACTCCGCTGGACCTCCCAGAGGTACACACCGGTGGCGACAGGAGTGCAGGTCGCAGACACCCAGGGAGCAGCGAGGTCAGGTCTGGGTGCGCGTGGCCCCCGACTCCGCTGGACCTCCCAGGAGCCCACGAAAGTGGCGACGGTGGCGCAGCTCGCAGCCACCCAGGGAGCAGCGAGGTCTCGGCCGAGGTCCGCGTACTCCCCCGACTCTGCCGTGCCTCCCATGAACCCACGAAAGTGGCGCCAGATGCGCAGTTCGCTGTCCCACAGGGAGATGCGAGGTCTCGGCTGGGTGCGCGTACTTCCCTACTCCGCCGTGCCTCCCAGGAGCCAACGAAGCGACACTTGCCCAGTTCGCAGGCCCCCAGGGAGCCGCGAGGTCTCGGCTGGGTGCGCACACTTCCCTACTCCGCCTTGCCACCCAGGAGCCCACGAAAAGGGCGACAGTTGCGCAGTTCGCAACCACCCAGGGAAACGCGAGGTCTCGTCTGAGTGCGCGTACTCCCCTACTCCGCCGTGTCTCCCAGGAGACCACGAGAGCGGCCACACCTGCGCAACTCGCAGCTCCAAAAGGAGATGCGAGGCCTCGGCCGGGTGCGCGCACTCCCCGATTCAGCCGTGCCTCCCAGGAGCCCGCGACAGTGGCGACAGTTGCGCAGGTCGCAGCCACCCAAAGAACCGCGAGGCCTCGGCTGGATGCGCGGACTCCCTTACTTCGCAGTGCTCCCAAGAGCCAACAAAAACAGGTCGTGGCGGCGCTCAGAAGGGGCTAGGGGGAGAGAAGGCTTCTTAGAAGGAGGCTGCTTCTTGAAGGCGCCGGCCCTGCATCCTATACACAAGGCCCGCGCCTTCTACGGAGCAGGGGTGCTTCTGAGAAGCCTTCCCCCCTCCCCCTGTCCCCCTCTGTGCATGGCCAAAGGTCGCCCTCCTGGGCTATGTCGAGCTTCAGGATCACGCGCGATAGAAAGCCGTCTCCGGGTGAAGCACCCAGCTCGGCCTCCACCGACGAGCCTGGTGGCGCGACGAGGGCTACGTTTTGTCAGAAGACGGTTGGGGGCAGGGGCGGGGGGAGGAGGGCACGGGGAAGGGGAGAAAGTAGGCAAGGGGAGGGGAGGAATGAGGATGGGAAAGGGGAAGAGGAGGAGGAGAAGGAGGAGGAGGAGGAGGAGGAGCAGTAGGAGGAGGAGCAGCAGCAGCAGCAGAAGGAGAAGGGGCAGGAGAAGAAGCAGGAGGCTACGATGGACAAGCACCACGATGAGGGAGAGGTAGGAGGAGGCAGGGGAAGTGCAGCAAACCGCGGGAAGGGGGGAAGGAAGAGGAGCAGGAACGCCGACGACGACGATGGCAAAGACGACGACGACGACGACGACGAAGACGGCGACGAAGACGGCGTGTTTTGTCTTGCGCGCAGCACTGCGGCGGACACGGCTTCTGGAAGCGGCCCCGCGCGTCCGCGGCGCCCCTGGGCGGCCCACTGGAGCTCACCCCGCCGCCCACGGCCGGAGTCCGGCGAGACACCTTCTCCAGGACGTACATCACGGACTTCGCCTCGGGCTGTGTTGCTCCTACCGTACCGAATGACCACATCCCAGAAATAATGTCGAGCACCCAGAAAAGTAGCAGAAAACAGGATCGAACGAGTATCTCCTCCCAGGGCCGGGCACAAACCCTTCAGTTTCGGTGCTGCCTTGGTGCTCGAAATTCTTTCTGGTGGTCGAAGCTACAGTAGGTTGGAGCATCATGTGCCTCGAGGCCCAGACATCCAACGCCTCGAACAAACCACTCCGAGGACCTCGCTTCGAGGGTCTATGCCCCTGAGATGCTGGCGCTGCAGCTTTTCTTCACAACGGGCGTGTTCGCACAGCTTCGGGCCCACCACCGTCCCCACCACCACCGTCCCCACCACCACCGTCCCCACCACTGTCCCACTGTCCCCACCACTGTCCTGCTGTCCCCACTGTTCCCACTATTGTCCCCGCTGTCCCCACCAGCGCCCCACCAGTGTCTCACTGTCCCCACTGTCCCCACCACTGTCCTACCACGGTCCCACTCTCCCCACTGTCCCCGCCACTGTCCAACTATCCCCACTGTCCCAACCACTGTCCCACTGCCCCCACTGCCCCAACTGCTGCCCCACTGTGTTGTCCCACTGACCCCACTGTCCCCACCACTGCCCCACTGTCCCCACTGTCCCCACCACTCTCCCCACCGTACCACTGTCCCATTGTCCCACCACCGCCCTCACCACCGCCCTCACCACTGTCCCCACCACTACCGTCCCCACCACTGTCCCACACTGTCCCCTCTGTCCCCACCACTGTCTCGCTGTTCCCTCACCACTGTCCCCACCACCACCGTACCCACCACTGTCCCACTGTCCCCACCACTGCCCCACTGTCCCCACACCACTGTCCCCCCACACAACTGTCCCCACCACCACCGTCCCCACCACTGCACTGTCCCGCTGTCCCCACCACTGTCCCGCTGTCCCGAGGAGCGGGAATCGTTTGCCGGCGGCGAGGTGGGGGGGGGGTCGAACCGGTAGTGATCCCCCCCTTTTCATGATGGAATGGGGGGGGGGGGTCGAACTGGTAGTGACTCCCCCTCGGTTCTCGAGGGGGGGGCGACGGGTTGGGAACCCCCAGTGACTCCCCCCCGGTTGTCCGCCAGCAGCGGTAGAACACGCTCTTTCAAAGATAAGAATCGAATAAAGATCATCAGCGCCGACCAAGGCACATGCGGTTCGCATGCCTCTGATTACCCGCCGCTGGGTGTAGAGGGGAACTCTGAAAACAATATGTCGAGGCACCATTCTGCAGTAACGCTTCGGCGAGAAACGCCAATGAAAAGACTCCGAGCAGTTTCCCGGCACGGAGGAGGAATTCTCGCTCCCCGTATGCATAGTGTGTGAGACCCTTCCCAAGGGCCGGCTGTTCATCCCGAGTCATCTTTGGGGCAGTCCCAGGGCCCAGCGAGGGCCCCCAGAGGCCAAAAGTACAGTGAGGGCATTGAATGATGAACCTTTGGGTAAGGAACCCGGGGCCTGGAAGCTGGTGAAACACCAATCGTGGCTTTACAATGGATGTAGCCGCCGCCGTCATCAGATAAGGCATCCTCCAGGGTCTGAGGCACACTACTTCCCTCAGACCTGACGTTGCCAAAAAACAAATGGCAACATCCCCAAACAGCACGACTGGAGCCCTAAACACCATCTTTCTGGGGCATACCTCGAGCCAGCTCGACCCGCGAGGACCCGGAACCGGGCGCGAACACGCCCGGTGCCCAAAGATGCGACGCCCCGAGCTGAGGCCTCCCGGGCACATTCCTCAGCGAACCCCCCGGCCCCCCTCTGCAGCAGAAACCCAGACCCCCGACGTCGTGACTTTTTCACAACGTCGACCCCCAGAGGTCTGGACCCCTTCCCCGGGAACGGTTTTGCATCCTGAATCGTTTTTGACGCTCCCGGAGCCGGGTAGGGGCCCGGAGAAGCCGAAAATAACAAAAAACCGCCCGTCGTCATTTTTCCACGACGCGAGGAGGTGTCGGAAGCCCGCCGCCGCGACGCCGGCCACGACGCGCGGCGCCGCTGCCTCCGCGCCCCCCCGCCCCTGGCGGCTCGGCGGCCCTCTGAGGGACTCGCCCTCTGGTTCGCGGCCAGCTCCTCGGCGCTGGGCCGTACCGGCGCCGCGGTGGCGCGCAGGGCGTGCGGCCTCCAGGGGGGATCTGTCCGAGGCCGCTCATAAGATGCCTTGGCTCGTAGCGAGGAAGGCGGACCTTTCACTTATAATAAACCGTCTCCCCCTCCCCCTCCTCCTCCTCCTCCTCCTCCTCCTCCTCCTCCTCCTCCTCCTCCTCCTCCTCCTCGTCCCCCTCCTCCTCCTCCTCCTCCTTCTCCTCCTCCTCCTCCTCCTCCTCCTCCTCCTCCTCCGCCGCGACGGCCCGGACACCCGCCGACAGGATCTGTGCCATGCGCGGCCCCAGGAGTTCCTCGCCGCTGCTCGAGGGCCCCTCGTCCCAGAGATCCAGGCCCGCCCGCGAGGGCCCCGAGCCCCGAGAGGAGGAGCCCCAGAGGCGAGAACGAGACAAGAGAAACAAGGCCGAGGTCGAAAAAACCAGGGCGTCGGATACTGCTTGTTGCTACTTCGCAGTGTCGGCCGTTGCCGAGAGGGGTGCCGGGGCCGCAGATAGCGGTGACACTTTGGGTGGGGCGGGGCACGAAAGGGCGGGTGCGCGCTGCGATCGCCACAGGATGCGCGCGGGCACCGGTATGTGGAGGGGGCTCAGGCCCCCCCCTTCGTACAGGGCAGTTCTTAATACATAGGATGGTTTAACATATAGGATTGTTTAAGACATGATGAAATTATGAATAAATGTATGAATGAACTCATCGTTGTGTTTAGTGCTAAATCCCAGCATTTGTAGTACATGATCCGCACGCGGAGCATGTATTAAAAACGGCACTGTACGATCGTTATCGTTACTCGGGGGACGGGGGGAAGGGGGGGGGACTGGGTAACGGCCGTTACGCGGCAGAGGGTTAAGCAAATCAATCTCCATGACCGGGATGTCGCGAGATCTCATCAACGCCGATCTTGGTAGTGGTCCATGCCCGCCGTCGCCGATTCGCGAAGATGATTTCATGATCCTTGGAACGTGTCTTAGCGCCAAGGTGTGATTGTTCACCGAAGCCATGCAATGCGACGCGGGCGGTGTAACGAGTGCTGGCACAAGCTGCGGGCTGCGTGCTACTCGCGCAGGAAGACAGATGTTCCTCTTGAGGCGCCAGCTGAGATAAGCGGTTAGCACGCGAGCGTCGTGACACCAGACGCACGGCGTCTGGACAGCTTGCTTGCGGCAGCAAGAGTAATGAGGAGAGCTGTGTTCATGTTGGGTGCGACCCGTGCGCGGTGAGTCTCATGGGGGCCGTGAAACCACGCGCGGCCCGCCTGCGGCACGACGAATCCAAACCCCCTACCCCCATAGATTAACGGGCGAAGAACGGTATAAAATAAACTTTTTCGCTGTCGGGGGCGCCTGGGTATAAACTTTCCAGCCGCCAAGGGACAGGCGCCCCCGACAGCGAAAAAGTCTATTTAATACCGTTCTTCGCCCGCTGAATAGAGTCGTAACAGCGCCAGGCTCGGGTGCCGCGGATCCGATTGCTCCCCGCCCCCATGATGCATCTAAAAAAAAACTTGCATTCGAAAACGCACAGACATCGGATCCGAGCGACAGCAAATACGGAACTCAGATCCACAGCATCAGACATCGGAGCCACATGGACGGAGATGGGATCCACAGCGAGACCGATCCAGACCGAATTCGGATCCGCCCCCACTTCATTGGATGTGCCCCCTGCGCGCCGGCGCAGGGGTTGAGGGCAGCAGGTCGGGGCCCAGTAGGACAACCTTCGTCCTGGGAACGTACGGGCGGAGGTGAACTGGGCAAACACACACACACAGACACACTGGGCGAACACACGTCCTGAGGGTCATCGAGAATGATCCACGACGAGGACCACGATCAACACCGAGATTCCCGCGCTCCGTCTTGGTCCTGGTCCTCCTTCTCTGTGCCGCCAGGCCTGGAGCTGGCCAGCAGTGGGTACAGCTCCGGGAGCCTGTCTGCGGGCACCAGTGCGGCGGCCCGCTCGCTGGGCTCCTCGTCTGGTGAGCCCTCGGGCTGCGCGCGGAGGCAGCTCCCCCTCGGGCAGTCTTGGCTGGCCTCACCAGGATTAGGTCGGGCCTGTCCCCCCACAGGGGGATTTAAAACATACCCCCCAAATAATCAAAGAATAATCCAAGAATAGTCTGGGGACTATTTTGAGGGTATTGTTTGACCTTTTGGGGGTATTGTTGGCGTATTTTTGTAACTTTCGTCAAAAATCCCCCTGTAGGGGGACACGCCCGACATAACACCAGGACCTCCGGGGGGGGGGCTGCCTGTGCGCGTCCCGAAGCTTCGCCGTCCTCGTTGCTGCGCAGGAAGCTGCGCACGGCCGCCACCTCCCAGCGGTTGAAGCAGATGACGACGACGCGGCCGTGCAGCTCCAGGCGCTCCAGCGCCCCCTCCAGCACCCGGTCCAGCTCGGCCACCTCGCGGTTCAGGAACACGCGGATGGCGCAGAAGACGATGTGGGCCAAGTTCAGGTTCGGATGCTCCAGCTGGAGCTCCGCCCCGAGAGCGTCCAGCACCGCGACCAGCTGCGCGGTGGACTCGTAGGGCCCGCGCCGAAGCACGACCTCCGCGATCCGCCGGGGCAGCGCGGCGTCCAGCCGGTAGCAGGTGGCGTCGATGACCCACGCGAGCTCGGCAGCGCTGACGCCTTGCAGCCACTTCGCCGCGGGGACCCCCACCTATAGGAAGACACAACCTATACGCCTGCACCGAAGGCCCGCCCTGGCCCCAGGATCGGTGCACAGTGTACGCCTTTTATGGCCTGAGCGGGAAGGCGTACCGATCCTGGGCCCAGGATCCACATGCGGGTCGGGGCAAAGGGGGGGATAGCAAAGGGGGGGGGTGAGAATCAGCTCACGCAGCTGATTTTCCCGGCGCCTCCCGGCGCCGGAGGCGGCTATGTATCGAGGAATGGGCCCCTCGGTGAGGCCGAAACCAGCTGCATGCAACAAATTTCGTAACCCCCCCTTTCCCAATCCCCCCCGTTCGTCCGGCCCGACACATGACCAAGATCGGTGTAAGCGCATTCTGGGTAAACCTAAATTTACCGATGCCGCTACTCCCCAAACCCCTCCTGGGGTGCGCTCTGACTGAAGCTTCGAAGCGAGCCCAGCCGTGGCGACGAAGGCCTCCAGGAAGCCCGGGAAGGCGAAAACGGCGGAAGGGTAGCGGCATCGGTATCTGATCCTCCTCGGAGGTCCGTACCCTCCGCACACCTCCTGGTTCATGCGCAGGTCCAAGGGGCCGTCCTTGCGGCCCTTGATGGAGAAGCCCCGGCTGACGTCGTCGAGCTGCGGCGACGACACGCCCAGGTCAAGCAGCACGCCGCCCACGGGTTCCCGCACCTTGGGGGCCCCCAAAACGCGTGGTGATAGACCGCGCGGTGACCTCGGAATCCCAAGAGACCTCACCGCGTGGTCCGTCACCGCGCGGTCTTGGGACCTCGGAGGCCCCCCAGCCGCCCGAGACGTCCTTGGAGAACGACCTGGATCCCAAAGCCGCGTGGTGATCCCGAGTCCCCACTGACTCATTTCGCGGTGTGTTCACCACACCATTTTGGGTGCCCCCAGTTCACCCACCCACGCTCCCAAGGACGGTGTACGTAAGACCGCTCGGCCCCCTCACTCTCCCCCGCGACCCACCCGCGACCCACCCGCGACCACCCCGCGACCCATCCCGCGACCCACCCCCCGACCCACCCCTCGACTCACACCACGAGGCGTGGTCGTGGCACGCCGTTCTGGTGGCATCCCCGCGCACCGCGCCCGCCAACTCGCTGAAGGGCGCGTGGACCATCCGAAAGCGGCCGTCCTCCGCCGCCAACGCCCGCCCGACCTGCACGGCCAGCGGGTCGACGTCGAAGGCCTCGAGGAACAGGGAAAAAATCGGCACCACGATGGCGATGACGATGACGACGACGACGACGGCGATGGCGATGATGACGATGCTGACAGCGATGATGGCAGTGATGATGATAATGGTGATGATGATGGTGGTGGTGATGATGATGATGGTGGTGGTGGTGATGGCGATGATGGTGATGATGATGATGGTAATGAATATGCCGATGGTGATGACAAAGAATTCGGATGGATTTGGTGATGATGCTGATGATGATGATGATGATAAAGATGTTGATGAGGATGAGGATGAAGACGAGGATGAGGACGAGGATGAGGATGACGATGCGCTTGATGAGGATGGGGATGAAGACGAGGATGAGGATGATAATGGGGACGAGGATGAGGTCGAGGATGAACGCTCACATTCCCGCGGGGCCTTGCTCCGCTTGGACGCCACGAGCGAGCAAGGCACGTATATTAGCGTGCCTGCGTGCCAAACTCCGACCGCGGGCCTGAAAGAAACCCAGTACCCCATCACGTTCGTAATTTCCGCCAGCACGCATTGACTTATACGTCGAGTTCATCCGACCATGAGGTACAACCATGGCCAGCCGACATCCGGGCACAACGACGCAGGGGAGACACAGCGAGAAAGCACGAAGGCAAAGCGTGGACGCGAGACGACAAAGGGACAGACAGGAAAAGAAGTGGACCACCCCATACCCCCGACCGCACAGTTCCCGAACCTGCAGATAGCTGTTCCCTGTCGGAACTTGCGGGTGGTGGGCCCGGCATTGAAAAACAATGCGAAGATAGGCGCTCCCGATACATGGAGCAAGCTTGCAGCTTGCGTTTAGCAGATCTATCAGGACACGATCACCGACAGGGGGGGCCAGGCCAACAGTACCTCGCGCGCCTCACAAGGTCCAGAACAAGGGAAAGGTGAGGATGCCTCAGCCGACGGCAATTGCAGGTCATCCTCTGCAGCCCGATAATGTTGGGGCCGGCCAGCGCAAGAGCGATCGCAGCAATCTCTCTCCAGCACCGCGTGAGGTTATGCGCGGCCGCCTGCTTTCACCAACTAGGGAACCGCAGTGCGCAAAGGACGCAAGTGTCTGAGACTCCATGGAGCATGGCGTAGGATCGCGCCGTGGCATCCCGAAGCCCCCTGGACCCCGAAGCGGCGCGAAGCGTGGCAGCACGAGCAGAGGAGGTAAGGCCACTGGGCTCCGCCGCCACCCCAAGATCCCCGATCCCACGAAGAATGGAGCGGGGGATGGCAAGGCGCGGCGCGCAGGCAAGCCGCTGCAATGCCGCGCGATCAGTGGCCAGCGAGCGCTCGGCGACAGGGTGCACTCGCCAGACGCGGGAGAGGACGCGAAGACCAAAGAAATCATAAGCACGAAGACTGTGGGCGGGCGAAGAGGTGAAGCGATCGAATGCGGGACGCGCGATCTCGCAGCTCCGCGCATGGAGCGCCACAACTCTCATCGCATCCTCCAGGGCCCAAAAACCAGCCATCATTTTTCCCCCGTGGGAGGCCATGCGATTTGCAGAACGTTCAGTCCCGCGACCCGAAACGCCCGGACGGCTTCCGAGGGGGACAGAATACAATGGATGACAACGTCGCACTTCTCGAGGCTCGGACCATGCTCAGTGGCCATCGCGCTCTGCGCCATCCACCCGACAGCGACAGGCAAAGAGAAACGCGCGTCGGGGCAGGCGCATCCAACGTCATCGGCCAGCAAAAAAGACGAGCAGGTTGAGAGGCAATCTGCGGATTAAGAGCACGCAACTCAGGAACGATCGCCACGGTGAAAATAAACCCTGCCAGGGGGCAACCTTCCGTCACACTTCTCCGAATAACCCAGCTTCATTCCAAAAGAAAAGGAAAGAAGGAAGGAAGGAAGGAAGGGCCACGCGCCCTACGGCGCATCGGCGGCGGCGGCGCATTAGCGACGCGCGAGCTCTCGCCAATAATGCGCATCCCGTGCATTTTCTCGGCGCTGGTGTCCGTTTGCACATGCCCGCGCTGCGCGCGGCAGCAGCATTCTTGCCCGCCCCAGTCGCGGCCTCCCTGCTCCGCGCACAGAGCGATCATTGAGCGGCGCGAGCGCCCCGGGGTAGAACGCGGCATCCCGAGGCGGGCCCCCCAGTTCCCCGAGAGCCGCATTTTCCGAAGAGGATCAACTGATGCCCCGGCGGCGTGTCAGACAGCGGTCTCTGCGCCGAGCGCCGGCGCGCGCCCTCGCTGGGCGCGCGCGAGACCATGGGATGCTCGACGCCGCGAATTGTCGGTAGCATTCCGCAATGTGCCCCGTCCAGTCTTTTTGTTCTGCCTAGCTCAGACACGCTGCACTCATGCTGTAGAATAGCTTGGAGACCACGATCGCGTTGAAGAGCTCTTCATTTCTCCGCCTTGAGATTGACGCGTGCCCCCGCAGCTTCAGCAGACCGCGGAATTCAGCAAAATCCATCCCGAGCCGTCTGGCGAGCTCCCCGCCGACCCTCCCGTCGTTGCTAATCGATGCCCCCAAATGTGCGAGCGCGTCTGTCGCCTGCGCTGCGTCGCCGCCCGGGGTCCGGACATCGCCGTTGCATCTCACCCGGAGCAGCTGCAGCTTCCCCCAGTGCATCTCCTGACCGACTCCTGCGGCGGCCGCTTGCACTGCGCGCAGCCACGCTTGCATGTCGGGCGCCGTTCTGGCCAACGGAAGCGCGTCATCCGCGCGCGCTCACTGTTCGAGGCGGCCTTCTAGCTCCGTTGGGGGGCTGTTCTCCGCGTCCTTCATGAGCACCGCCATGAGCATCACGCGCAAAAAGGCGACGACGGACAACCTTGCGACATTCCAAACCCTCGCGGCCTCTCGTCAGACACGCGGCCCCCATTTCGCGCGCGGAAGCGGCGGTCCCGGCGCATATCTGCGATCGCGTCGACGCAGTGTCGCGGCAGCCCGAGGCGCTTCAAGACCACCAACACGGCGTCGTTGTTGACGGAGTCGAAGGCCCTCTTCAAATCGAGTACAAGGATATACGCATTGCCCCCTGCATGCGCCCAGACTGTCGCGACCCTTCCACGGAGAATGCAAACCGCATCCTGCGCGCCCCGCCCACTCCGGAAGCCAAACTGGCCCGACGATAGTCCCCCCTCCGCGCCGGCATCAACCAATCGCTTCTCTACCAACGAAGCAAACATCTTATAATCCAAACACAAGAGACTAATCGGGAGGCGGCTATCCGGCCGCCGCGCGCCCCCCCTTCTTGCGCATTGCCGTCGCAACTGCGTTGCGCCAGTCTTTGTGCGTCTCACCCCTGACCCTGCAGTCGTTCCTGAAGCGAGTGATGTTGAGCAAACACTTCTCGTTCTGAAATTATGCCTTCCAGCGCTCGGCGGGGATGCGATCCCCCCAGGCAGCTCTCTTGTTTCTGAGTTTCCAGAGCACTCCCCTGGCGCTAACCTCGGTTGCCACGAAGCGGCCTTCGGCCACTGGCAAGGCTGGGCCCAGAGACGGAGCAGGCACAGTGGAAGCTGGCCTCACCCTCCACTGCACTTTCGCCACAAATTCTGCCATCGTCCCCGTTTTTTTCTGCGCTCGGCATAAGGGCTCCACAAGAATCCCGCAAGCAAGAAGTAAAAGGTTTCCTCGGCTTCCGAAGCATCTTCAAGTCGCCCCACGATCCCGACTGGATGCGATCCATGCCATGCTGACTTGTCGGCCCTGGCGGCTTTTCAGGCGAACTTATGAAGCCGCCGCTGCTCGTCTGGGTCGTTGCGCACACTGGCCGCGGCCCTCTCGCCCTTCGGCCAGCGCGAGCCGCGCGCGTGCACTTCGAAAGAGCGGCAAACTCCTGGGACATGTTCTTAAGCCCGAACTTGAACATCCGCTTTTTGAAACTCCCCGTCGCAGCATACATCACCGTCTTGGCATATGATACGGCCTGGTATAGGGTCGGGGGCAACATCCCACTCGTCGAACGTCCAGTCTACTAGTAGGCCACTAAAGTCGGGGCGCCGAAAGCACCGTCGCGGAACACGAGGCGCGCGCGAGGCGCTGCATGCTATCTGCACAGACACAGTCACATGACCAGACGGAAACACGAGGTCGCGGGCATGTCCATTCACTCCACTCCACGCGCGCCAGTCCAGCACTTCTCAAGTCGGTGCGTTCGCGCGCAGACGGTAAAGCCGAGCATGCGAATGAGGCTGCGGTGCGCCATCGACAATTCGCAGCGCACGATGCGCCATCTTAATATGCTCAATCTCGACATACTTCTTAGGGAGAGAGAGAGAGAGAGAGAGAGAGAGAGAGAGAGAGCGGCAAACCGATCTAACATGACAGAGTCATCGTCCGTCGCCAGACCCCCGCCAACATAGCGACGAGTCCCACCCTGCCCACGGAAATTCTAGGCACCACCTACAATACAGAGGGCACGATGCTGCTTATGTAAAATCTGAACGAACGCATGCGCTACACATCCGGCTGCAAGACAACCCAAGCCAGCTTCAAGATGGATATTCCAACAAATGGACAAGGCGCCGCCAGGGCCGTTCAGATGAAAGACGACACACCGCCCCTCACGGATGGCATCATCACGGGTAGAGCTGAAAAATCTGAGTAGAGGCCTGGCAACGCTAATTACAACCTCCCTGCGCGGTAGTCGGAACGAAAGGACCCCACGTGGGCAAAGCTGGGATACGTTCTGTCTGAAGTGCCAAGGACAGCCATGGCCCCAAGAGCTTCCTGCAAGAGAACGAGCAAATACTGCATGCCAATACGACGAACGTTCGCAAACTTCTTGCACTCACTAACGGGTACGACTACCCCAGACGCATCCAAACGGAACAGCCGAAGACGTACCAACACTGACCAAGTGCTTCACCCCATGGCGAATGCCAGCCGCAGGCCCGACGCCATGATTCTCATAGGGCCCAGCAGTCCTGCTTCCAGTAGAAGTAGACACAGAGAGGAGCAACCGAGGAAGAACGAGCAGTCGGATCCGCCGAAGAAACCAGACCCGAGGCCGTAGAGGTGGATGTATAAGCTCCCGAGGAATGCGCAGGCAAAATGCCGCGAGCTGCTCCGTGACACTCCAGCACAGCACGTGGTAACAGTCAGCTTCGCTTGGAGCGCAGCTTGCTCTGAATCAGTTCGGGAGAAGTATTGGCATTAACACTCTCGATCGGAAGACCACTGCTCTTGTCGTCATCACGCATGGAAATTGTGGTAACTGTGAAAACCTCGCGCCCGCCGCCCATTTCATAACCTGGTGCGAGCCTGACGAAGTCGTAAATATCCTCGCTGTGACTGCAAGCTAGATGCGAGTACCCGGTGTGAGGGCTGGCGCCCAGCGCGGAGGGATCCTTCCAGGCCTGGTGTTGGAGCAGCGCGGCACGCACGCACTCCCAACGTTGCCCCAAAGCAGATACTAGATGGCGGATCTGCAACGGCTGGCCGAACCCGAGTCGCAACTGAACGTTCCCCCCCGTCTTCGGGTCGCGCCACAGGAGATCCAGACTAGAACCGATGTCTTTTCCCCTGGCGGAAAAACTCAGGAGCCGCATCCTCGTGCTCGACCTCGGTAATGTAGTACAGCTTGTAGCTCTGGCATGAAGCGCGAGATCCGGCTAGAAGCTCAGGTACAGCAGGAAGCAGTAGATCGAACTGCGCCTTGAAGACTCTCGACGGTAGCTTGCGCGGGAAGCCTCTGACCCATATGAAAGACTGTCGCTCACATGGCCGCCCCCAACGCGCGAGCTCGATGGTTCTCCAGGGGCAGCACCAAGAACAACTTCCCAGCCACGGCTCCTCTTGTTCTTGGGTTCCCCGATGTAAGAGCTCTACGGATCCGAAGTTGCCGATAGAGATGAATGGGTACGCGACGAAGCGATGTTGATCTTGATCGCATTCTCCATGGCAGTCATCTTGGCGTCCAGCTCGGCGACAGTCACTAGCTTCGGGGTGGCTGGCTCAAGCCGGCCATCATCCAGGGGCGGGGTCGAAGTGCCAGGAGTCGGTGTGCCGCCAGCGGCAGTCCTGTAGATGCTCTTTGCCTGGTCCAACTCCTCCTTCATGCTTGCTTGTTCTAACTTGAGCTCGGCGATCTGCGCCTCGAACTTTTCGTCAATGGCCTTGACCTGGCACATGACGCCCGCCAAGTCGATCCGCATCGGCTGCAGCTGGGTGCCGACCACCCGGCCCATCGCGGCCAGATCCTCGGGTGAGAGTGGCATGGCAGCAGCGAGAGAGTACAAAGTGTCCGCCCAGGCACGACACCCAGGATGGCGTCTTCGAGAGGCTGCCCACTCAAGCGTGCACCAAACAACTTGAACCAAAATGACAATCAAGGATGAGGATGAGGGTGAGGATGAGGATGAGGACGAGGACGAGGATGAGGATGAGGATGAGGATGAGGATGGGGATGAGGATGAGGATGAGGATGAGGATGATGATGATGATGATGATGATGATGATGATGATGATGACGATGCTGATGATGGTGATGATGATGATGATGACAGTGATAATGATGATGATGATGACTGACGATGATGATGATGATGATGATGATGATGATGATGATGATGAATGATGATGATGATGATGATGATGATGATGATGATGATGATGATGATGATGATGATGATGATGATGATGATGATGATGGAGGAGGAGGAGGAGGGGGATGATGGCGCTGCTGCTGCTGCTGCTGCCACCAAGGACCACGAGCGGGGGGAAGCTAGGGTGGGCTCCCCCTGGTGGTGTGGTCACCGCCTCTCGCTCGAGACATCCCCCATCCCCAGCTCGGGAAGGCACCGTGGACTCCTTCGCTGGAGGTGGCCCCCTGGTGGTGGTGGTGTCGCTTCTCCTTCTCCCGAGCCTGGAGGAACGAGAAAACGGCTTGGACATAAACTTTGGGAGCTCCACGCGGACTACTTGGATCGGCGCTGGGCTCCGAGATCCGGAGCGCTGCAACTGTTCCTCGCCCGGCGTGTTCGCCCAGTTTCGGGCCCCGGGCCCATCACAGATGGATCTGGCTCGGAAATTTGTTGAAGAAAGATGGCGCATCGGATCTGGGGTTCCAGTCAGAACTTGTCGCGCTGGCGCAACTTGTTCTGCGCGGAGTTCCTGGATCTGCCCTGAGCCCCCCTGGCCGCGCCTCCAGCGCCGCCCCTGGCGCGCTCCACGTGCCAGGGAGGGGAGTGTTACGCCACGAAAATATACACACAGACGCCCTCCAACGCACTTCGCATGTACCTTCCAAGGAGGGGACGGTGTATGAAATCGTTGGCTCCCAGTGGCGGTTTACACACCGCCACCCTCCCCTAAGGCCCAGGAGCATTCCAGTGGAGGGTGTGTGTGTGTGTGTGTGCATTTCTTTTTGTGGCGGAGGTGCAGCGCCGTTCCGAGAAATCCACGCGGGGCTCGAAGAAGCTATGTGTGTGCCGATTTCTCTTCGAAGGCCACGAGGCGCCCCTCGCTGGACAGCTTGGACAGCACCTCGCGAGCGGCGAGCGTAGCCATGTCCACGCCGTCGCTTTCTGCACTCCGGGGCGCGATCCCGCGGACACGCGGTCGCACGGATACGTTCCGCGCGGGGCGTCCGCGAAGAGACGCCCCCTATCCGCGGGGTCGCAGCCCAGGGGCCCAGCCCGCGAGGCCGTGGATATTAGGGAAACCAAAGGTACCGATACCGCTACCCCCCGGACCTTTCCCGGTGGTGCGTTCTGACCAAGATTTCGAGGCGAATCCAGCGGTGGCGGCGAGGGCCGCCCAGGAGGCCCCAAAAGGGGAAAGCAGTCGATGGGGGTAGGGCTATGCGTACCTATTCCTTCTCCGAGCTACGGAGATGTCTTTCATCCACGAGCACCACGCTGGAGTGCCCGCCGCGCCCGAAGGTGCAGTCGACGTAGAGCCTGCCCGGGCCCGGCACCACCAGCTGCTCCGTGGCCTCGGCCAGGAGCACCGGCACGTGGCAGCGGGCCCGGCAGCGCTCCCGGGCGCGCTCCTCGTACTTGGCGCGCTCGCAGCACGTCCTGTAGATCGCGTCCTGGCGCCGCTCTCTCGGCTGGGACCACAAAGGAGGTCCTTGCGAAGCAGGGGGACGAGGAGGAGGAGGAGGAGGAGGAGGAGGAGGAGGAGGAGGAGGAAGAAGGAGGGGGAGGGGAGGGGGAGGGGGAGGGGAGGGAGGAGGAGGAGGAGGAGGAGGAGGAGAGGAGGAGGAGGACGAGGACGAGGAGGAGGAGGAGGAGGAGGAGGAGGAGGAGGAGGAGGAGGAGGAGGAGGAGGAGGGAGGAGGAGGATGAGGAGGAGGAGGAGGAGGGAGGGAGGAGGGAGGAGGGGGAGGGGGAGGGGGAGGGGGAGGGGGAGGGGGAGGAGGAGGAGGAGGAGGGAGGAGGAGGAGAGGAGGAGGAGGAGGAGGAGGAGGAGGAGGAGGAGGAGGGAGGAGAGGAGGAGGCGAAGGAGGAGGAGGAGGAGGAGGAGGAGGAGGAGGAGGAGGAGGGGGAGGGGAGGGGGAGCGGGAGGGGGAGGAGGAGGAGGAGGAGGAGGAGGAGGAGGAGGAGGGGAGGAGGAGGAGAGGAGGAGGAGGAGGAGGAGAGAGGAGGAGGAGGAGGAGGAGGAGGAGGAGGAGGAGGAGGAGGAGGGGAGGGGGAGGAGGAGGAGGAGGAGGAGGAGGAGGAGGAGGAGGAGGAGGAGGAGGAGGAGGAGGAGGAGAAGGAAAGGAAGGAGGAGGAGGACGAGGAGGAGGAGGAGGGGGAGGGGGAGGGGGAGGGGGAGAGGAGGAGGAGGAGGAGGAGGAGGAGGAGGAGGAGGAGGAGAAGGAGGAGGAGGAAGAGGAGGAGGAGGAGAAGGAAAGGGAGGAGGAGAAGGAGGACGAGGAGGAGGAGGAGGTAAGGGAGGAGAAGGAGGAGACGACGACCGTAAAAGAAGCACCATGCCATTTGCAATATACTCTGATCCGCCACTCACGAAGTGCATGAGCAAAAGAGACCGAAACGAAGCGCGGCAAGCGGAAGCTACATGAATAGCGACGAATACCGGGAGGCGGCGCGCGAGGAAGAGGACAATATAGGCCGAGGGCAGCGCAAGGAAGAGCGACGCTGAGAGGCCCTCCCAGACGAACATCACTTCGACCAGCACGAGTCCACATCATCGTCGTCGAAGCCAGCAGAGGCGCCATGGCAGAAGCACGGCATGATCTCGGGATCGCCGAATTTGACCGAGACCCCGCACACAGGACGAAGCTCAACACCACCACGGCGAAGGCGAGCCGCAGGAAGAATAACGTGAGCCCGATCGCAGGATGCGGCACTACGCGAGGCGGTGACAGTTGGCGCAGGCGAACATGGGCGTGGCTAAGGCAGCACCGAAGGCGACGGCGAGGCAGAGCCAGCACACAAAGCAGCCACAGCATTCCTCACGTCGTCGACGCGCTGCAGGATCCCGCTCAACAACGTGCGCACAATGCTCGTGACACGTTGCGACACGATGGACTCGACCTCACGGCGGAAGCAATCCATCCTGCCCACGACCAGGGACGCCACCTCAGCTTCAAGCTTCGCGACGGCCTCGTCACAATACGAGATGGGGTCAGTGACGCCACCGCGAGCAGGCTGAGAGGGACCACACGGGCGCGCACCCGTCTCGAGCGCACCTCGCAGCTGGGCAGATGTGCTGTCCTGAGCCGCGGGCAGGCAGAGGGCAAACCCAAGCTGCGCCGACATCACTCGGGGATGGACAGACCTCCCTTTAGTAAAACGTGGTTTAGTGAAAACGACCTGAGGCCCAAACCTGGCGGGCGCAACCCTGGAGAATAACGGCCGCGGCGCCCTCTCGAGAACCGAAAACGGACAATTCACTAATCGACGTGTCACTGTTGGGGGTTCTGTCCACCCCCGAATCACCTCCGAATCGCCACACGGGGCGGCGGGCCACCAGCCAGCAAGGGCCGCGGCCGCGGGAGGCACGAACTCCGCCGCGCCGGCACGCAGCGAGGGGGGCGCGACACGAGCACGCCCCGGTCGGCCTTCGCGGGGCCGGCGGCGCCCGCAGCGGACCGAGTGCCTCCTTGCCGGGCCCCACTGCCGGCATCCCAACTCGAGGCAGGGGCGGTGCGATCGCGTTGGGCGTTGCGTAATGGAGGGGTCATAAATGGGGGGGTGGCGAGGGTGGTCCGAAAAGGTACCCAAACGGTACCTAAACGAGCCCCCTGGGGGTCCGGAGGGGCTCGAAAGGGGCACGAAAGGGGACCGTTTCTGACCCCCCCATTTATGACCCCCCCATGAAGCCACGCCCAATCGCGGCCAACGGAAGCACCTCCGGCCCAGGGACCACGCTCGAAAAGAGGATCACAGGCGGCGAGAGGGGCGCGACTCGCGGCCGCGAGAGCCTTCCTGCCCACGTTGTGCTTGGCAGCGTTGGGGTGCTTGTGGACCCTCTGGGAGTGGTCGTGCACGGCCTTCCCCAGCTCGGAGCGGATCGCCAGGGTGGCCGCGCGCGCAGCATGGTGAGGTGGCCCACCAGCACGAAGGTCGTGCACGGCGTGCAGATCCATCGATGTAATGCCCATGGCAGCGTCGTCCCGCAATGCGGACGGCACGCTCAGCCAGCAGCGGCAAAGAGCAGGTCGTGGAACGAGGTAACCCAGACGAGCAGCACGCTGTCGCCGATCACGAAATTTATCCAGAGAGTGGCGATGAACCATCCTGCCGGCATGGAAGCGACATGGCGGCGCCCGCGCGGGCGGGACGGAGCCTGACTTGAGCCAAAATGGCTTGAGCCAAAATGGCTTGAGCCAGGAGGAGGAGGAGGAGGAGGAGGAGGAGGAGGAGGAGGAGCTTGGGGAGGAGGGGGAGGAGGGGGAGGAGGAGGAGGAGGAGGAGGAGGAGGAGGAGGAGGAGGAGGAAGAGGACGAGGAGGAGGAGGAGAAGGAGGAGGAGAAGGAGCGTCCTGACGCCGCACCAACTCGGCCAGCCGCGGGTCCTTCCTCTGCAGGCGCAGGCTCTGGCCCTCCTCCCGTAGCTCCTGGAAGAGGAGGAAAAAGCAGCATCATTCGCCTGCCAATGGGGGCAGACTACTAGGGATCAGAATCAGCGAGGGGCAAACGAAGGAAAGTTGATCTTCTGAGTAGAATACTGGCTTGGGCTAAAGTATTTTCCAAAAAGGTTTTGCCCCGGAATAAAACAAGGAAAGCATCCCTTTTTGATAAACATACGACCCCGAGTGAGGAACATCGGCGAAACTGAGCCTACCTGTTTCCAGGCCTCAAGAAGGCTGACCCCCAGTAGCAGGCGAAAGACACCGTGGCATCATGGACGACAGGCCTTCGACACCGGCGCTTGAGATGCCCCCTCCGTGGGGCGCGCGGAGCGCGCCAGGGCGAGGGGCCCCAACGCCGATCCAAGAAATCCTCGCAGAGATCCGAAAGCTCATGTGTCTGCCGCTCGCCTGACGTTCCAGTGCGGGCAATACCTATATCCATATCCAGTGCGTCTTGGACTTTCTTGGGAGGGGCGCCGCAAGGCCGAGGCGCACTGGATATGGATAAAGTCTAGCCTTCGAGGGCCAGATTTTAATACATATCCAGTGCGCCTCATGTTTTTGGAGAGAGCCCGAAACTCCAAGACGCACTGGATGTGGATATAGACATTGCCCGCATCCAGGAGGGCTAAACAAGTAGCACCAGGACCTCGACATCTAAATCCCTGTCGAAATTTACCAGAAGGCCCAGGTAGGTCCGTCCGTAGGTCTGGAGGTCTGGAGGGTTATCCTCTGGCACTCAGGAAGGCCAGGGAAACTCCGAAAACAGATGTTTTGCCGCTGCTTCTTCCCCGAAACTGAACATGGTTTAACCGATCCCAGCCACAGTGGCCGATTCACCCCCCTAGATGGGGATGTAGGCTGTTTCCTTCGGCTCCCGAAAAAGGTCCCCAACTGGGGTGGTGAGATGCGGGTCTCGGGATGGGGATGGGGATGGGTTGAATAGGATTGGGGGGTCAGGCCTGCAGAACACCCCAAACAGACGTCAAGGGCCGCAACCAACCTGTTCGGTCAAGCTAAAACTGTTGCACCACACCTGGCGTCGAGCCAAAACTTCGGACATGGGCGAACGGTTGGAGTCTGCACATTCTCGTCGGCTGAACCGGCAAGGCGTTTGACCACCTTGACGTCCCTTGTTTGGTGGCCCTGCAGAGGAAGGCGTTCCCTGACCCTCGGCCCTACCCAACGAGCGGGGATGAGGATCGACTAAACGATGCTGAACTAGCTCCAGCTTGCGCGCTGCGATCTTCGCCCGCAGCTCGTCCAGCTCGTCCTGCCAGGCAGCAGCCGCGCCCGCGCCGCTCTGCCCTGCCCCGGGCCCCGCCGCCTCGGCCTCCGCCGCGGCGGCCGCGGCCGCCTGGGGCTCCTCTCTCCCTCCTCTCTCTCTCTCTCTCTCTCTTTCTATATTTCTCTCTCTCTCTCTCTCTCGCAACGCTGCGCAGAGGTCCCCGATCCTCGCCACCCCGCCCGCGCGCGCGGCGCGCTGTGGCTGGAAGCGCGGGAGCCCCCTTCTGACCATTGGGGGCCCGTTGTCCCTTTCGGGAGGAGGGGGGGAGAGGGACGAGCCACCTGTCCTTCCGACAGATCGGAGGAAGTCAGAGAGGAAGAGAAAGGGGAAGGTGAGCGGCGGGGCCAACCTCATGACCATGATGTTTTGGCCGACGGCGTATGATGTCGGTAATGCTGTACTCTGGATACTTGTCGGTAACGCGGGAGTCGAAGAACGGGGGTACGGGTGTACCGGTAATGCAAGACCGTAGCGCTATAAGCATGTGGCGTCGCAGACTGTCGGCACCCCCATACGATGTACGGATTACCGCGCGCTGGACAGGCAAGTAGTGCCATCCAGCTAGCGGACCGTGGCGGATGTCTTGTCCAGCTTCTCCACAACGCAGACGCGGCACGTCTTGCCGAGCCTGCGCTGCGTCGCTGATCGCGATCGGTTTCTCGATGTACCCGGGCTTCCAGCTGCGGCTAGGTTGAGCTGCCTCTGGTAGGACTGGAACTCCAGGTTGTCCTGCGTCTTCTCGCTTCTGGTGGGCACACTCGTCGCGTGGTCCTGCTTGTGGTTTTCGAAGCTCCGCTGGTAGCTCTCGTAGCTCAGCTGGTGGCCCCCGAAGCTCTGCTTGCGGCCCTCGCAGCTCAGCTTGTTGCCAAAGTCGATCAGCAGGTGGTCCCCGTAGCAGAGCTGGTGGCTCTCGGGGGTCCGCTCGTGGCCCTTGCCGTTCAGCTCGTCGCCCAGGTAGCTACGCGGGAGGTTCTCGTCGTTCTGCTTGTGGCCCGCCTGGCTCAGGTTGCCCAGGAGGTGGCCCTCGGAGCTCAGCTTGTGGCACTGGTAGCCCAGCTGCTGGCACTCGGAGCTCTGCTCGTGCTCCTTGCAAGTCAGCTCGTCGCCCAGGAAGCTCCGCGGGGTGCTATCGCAGTTCTGCGTGTGACCCTTTTAGCTCCGGTTGTGGCCCTCATAGCTCAGGAGGTGGCCCTGGTAGCTGAGCTGGTGGCACTCGAAGCTCTGTTCGTGGCCCTTGCAGCTCAGCTCGTCGCCCTGATAGCTTTGCGGGAGGCTATCGTGGTTCTGCGCGTGGCCCTCGCAGCTCAGGTTAAGGCTCTCGTAGCTCGGGAGGTGGCCCTCGTGGCTGAGCCGGTGGCATTCGGAGCTTCGCCCGTGGCCCTTGCAGTTCAGCTCGTCGGCCGAGCAGTTCTGCGGGATGCTCTCGTAGTTCCGCTTGTGGTCCGCGAAGCTCGGGTTGCGGCCCTCGTAGCTCAGGCGGTGGCCCTCGCAGCTGAGGCCGCAAGGAACCCAGCTTCGGAAGGCCCCGGCAAGTCGCAGGCCTCCTCTGGTCTCTCCAGTTGCCCTGGCTCTTGGTAGAGTCTTCCATACTTCGCCTAGCAAGCTGGAGAAATCTGGACTCGGTTGCGCGCAGTGGCCATGCAAACAGTAGGCGCTGCTACGTGCAACCTGGGCAGGGGCACCGTCACAAGTTATGATGCGTTTCGCAGTCCGTCTGCGGTGTCGTTCGCTGTTGCCGTGAATGCTGTCCTGATTGTGCCCTGGAAACCACGCGTAGGACTCGAGGCAGTCCTGCGTAGATCGGGCGAGCTGCTCATCAGTAGGATCCTCGAGACCCCTGGGAAGCCCCCGCAGGTCCCGAGGCCAGCCAAAGATGCGGCTGACAGCAGGGTCAAAAGCCAGTCGCGGCAGGGCGCAGCGTAGTCTCCAGCATCACATTGCAATAGAGAAACGAGCTGCCAAGTGATCGTCTTTGTCTGCGGACTGGCGTGCAAAAAGAAAGAACAGCCCCGTCGTGCGATTCTGGAGTCCGAGGAAGTTGGGCGACAAGCTCCTGAGGTCTCAGGGGAAGGGGTGCACTGTCCTGCACTTTCAAAGCTTGATAAGTGGCCCGAGGAAGAACATCCTTGGGCTCATGAGCTAATTTTCTGCTCTGGTGTATCTCTCCCCTTTCCTGGTGCATGCCCGCCCGCTCAAGCCCAGCCCAGGTCCCCCTAACAGGTCTCACGAACTCTCCTTGAGCGTGCCTGGTGGGGCTGAGCAGTCTGGGGTGGAAAGCGCCTTGGCCATCCTCAGTTGTGCGCATGCATGACAGCACCTGCTTACTGTTTCTTTCACGGAAGCGCCACTGCCTTAGGCAAAAAGTTTTTCACAATGACATGTTTGCTGTCGGTTTAAAAGTCGAACTCGTGATACGAATACAATGACGACCAGGCAAGCGCGTTGAACTCAGCCCATTGGGCCTTCTGAGGACAAGGAGCAAAGACGGGCCAGGTGATTTCACAGAGGAGTTATTGGCCACCATGGCCGAGCCCCAGGAGCTCCAAAGCTCGCGCACCAGATGCCGACAGCTCGAACAATATATAACAACAGTACCCCTGAGGCCATCAGACGGGGTACGAGGGGGGAATCGGGGTAAGGAGCAGGGAGGACATCCACGTGCAACTCGATCCCGACTCCACCCTCGCAAACAAGCCCTGGCAAGACGTCGCCCTGATGTGGAAACGCACCGTGCAAGAATACTGTTGCGTCGTATCCTTCTGCCGAAACGTTGAGGGCTGTTTCCTGAATCCAAGCCACCACAAGTTGATATCTTATCTCATTCATGCGGGGACATTCAGAAACGATGAAATAACGCATCGTGCTCGCAACCGTACAACGCGCAGCGGGCCGAAAAAGAGAGGTAGCCAGCAGCGGCGACATCCGCCGCCGTCCAGATCCCGTTGCACGCGAGGGCTCTGATCAAGACCTTCTCTTGTTTGGAAGCCTTGGAGGAACCTGAGAGGTGTTTAGCAACATCCCAGCAGAGACGATGACCCACCCCATATTGATCCCCGAGTCCCCTTCCAACATACGCCACACAGCTTCAACAGTTTGACCATCTGGAGGGCGTTGAGTGTCAAGCTGATGTCTCTGCCGAAATCGTCATGAAACGTACAAACAGCGGACAGGGCCAAACCCATACGGTAAAGCGACAATTCGGGAGCGGAAATCGATCCCGAGACCTTGCTCCAGCTGAGGTCGTCCTTCGGGGATCTTCTGACCCGGTCAATCCAGACCTGGGTCAGTCAAGCTTTGCAAAATCCTGCAAGATCCTGCTGGATCCTCCACCCAAGCCCGAGTCAAGGAACCCCTGGCACTGCAGGATCCTGCAAGATCCGGCGCTCTGACTGACCCCCGTCTGCATCGACCCCCGTCTCTTGAGCCCCGGATCCTTTCAACAAGCCAGCTCCCGGCCCGCTCTGAGCTCTTCAGAAGAGACACACCCATCGAACTCATGAGCCTGGCACAGCCAGAGCACACGAGCCCAACTACGGGACGTGAAAACGACCACAGCCACTGCTTTTCTTTTGTTGCCGCCTACCAGCCAGCAGAAACTTGGTAATCCCCAAACGTGGTGGTGACAACACCTGGCGGTGAGTCTCGGGCGATTTGGTGTCACCACCCGGTTTGGGGACTCATGCGCTTGTTCGAGGATGTCCCGAACGCTGGTGGGCCCAGGAGTCACAAGACCCGGCGGTGAGCCCGTGTCCCAAAACCCGGGGGTGACTTTTTGGGGATTCCAGGTCACCACCTGATATCTCACCACCTGGTTTGGGGGCTCCCAAGAAACAAAGCAGTGGTTGTGGTCATTTTCGTTGAGCTTGGCACCCGGGAAATGACCACAACCACTGCTTCTTTGTCGGCCGGCTGGAAGGCGGCGCAAACAAGAAGCAGTGGCTGTGGTCATGTTCCCGTCCCGCACCACCTGAGGATCGGGGCGACCGCCGCCCTCTTGGGGGGGGGGGTCCCCTTCGAGCAGGGGAGAGGACAGCCGGGGATCTGCCCTGGGACCGCGGGCCACCAGAACTCACCCCCAGCCTCCTAAGACTGAGCAGCTCCCTGTCCGAAGCCCCCACGCATCCCCATCCCGAAAGTACCTCCAGCCATGTGGCCCGAAGCAAATTTTGTTTGATCCGCGGGTCGAGAGCGCACCTCTTCCGGTCGAAGCTAAGCGGGCCGCGCACAGCTTGAATTAACAAAGAGAGGGGGGGGGCAGAAGGAGGGGCCTCACGTCAAGGCCAGGAGGGGGCAAAGCCCTGGAACAGGCGGTGCCGAAGACGGTGTGCTTGCAAAGGAACGCCGTGGACAGGAACCCGGCGGCGAAGTACCGGAAGAAGGGCCCGAAGCAAACATGCGAGGGGCTCTGCAGCCCAGGGGCTCGGACAGACGCTTCACACGCCCAAGTACTCTTGCCGGCAGCAGTCGCGAGTCTGGCCTTGAGCATTGAGGCCTTCCCGGGTCCAGCAGCACAGAGAGCCTTACCGGCGGAACACTCAATGCCCAAGTTGACTAGGGTGGCTTGCCCTCCTCCCTCCTCCCTCCAGGCACATAGCTCGGAGTTATGTCCAATGGTTACTGCGTTTCTGCGTTTCTCGCTCCGAGCAGCGTCTCGCGTGCGCCCGGAGCGCGGGCCCGCCACAGCAGCCCACGAGGGCCGTGCGGGCACTCAGACGGCGGCCCCGGGAACCCGGCCACGAGGCGAGAAAGAGGACCAGGGACCAAGAAATACCTCGGAGGAGGGGAGAAAGGCCAGGTTAAACAACAAAAAAAACGCCCGAAATGGTTTTGGGGCGGGAGCCGCGCGCGCCCGCGCCCGCGGGCGTCAGGCAGCGCCCTCGGCGCGGCGCTCGGCCTGGCCTTAGGCCTCTAATGGTTACTGACACCTGATCCTCTGGCATCTGCTGCACCAGCTGCGCTCTGGCAGCTCTGGCCCAGGGCACAAGATCACCCAGCTCACGTGCTCCTCCCTGCTCCCGCTCCCGCTCCCGCTGCCGCTGCCGCCTCTGCCTCGCTGCCGCCTCTGCCTCGCTGCCGCTCCCGCTGCCGCTGCCGCCGCTGCCTCCCCCCCGCCCTTCTCCCGCTGCCGCCTCTGCCTCGCTCCGGACGCCGAACTCCGGCGCGGGCGGCTCGCACAAGCCGCCCGCCGGGCCGCTCGGCCTGCTGCCGGGCGCCTCGGGCACGCCGGGGCTCCCCGGGCCGGCGGAGGGAGTGTCCAGGGCCCCGTCGTAGGGAGCCTTCTCCACCACGTGCAGCATCCAGTCCCGCCCCTGGTGCACCGCCAGAAGAACGAAACGCTCCGGATCCTCCTCCTCCCCCATCCCTCTCGTACTCCTCCTCCTCCTCCTCCCTCCCTCCTCCTCCTCCTCCTCCTCCTCCTCCTCCTCCTCCTCCTCCTCCTCCTCCTCCTATCATCATCACACCACCATCACCGTCATCGTCATCATCATCATCATCATCATCATCATCATCATCATCATCATCATCATCATCATCATCATCATCATCATCATCATCATCATCATCATCATCAACATCATCATCATCAGCATCAGCATCAGCATCAGCATCATCATCATCATCATCATCATCATCATCATCATCATCATCATCATCCATCATAATCCTATCATCCTCATCATCATCACCACCATCACCATCACCATCGTCATCATCATCATCAGCATCATCATCCTCAGCCTCATCCTCACCCTCATCCTCCATCCCTTCTTCTAAAAATACATCCTCCCTGACGCACGCCAGGACGTGTCGGTAGGGCGGGCCAGGCGTTTCGCCTGAGACTTCCTTGGGATGACTCTGAAGGTAAACTTTTCAACAGCTTTGCGGCTGGAGGGTGAGCCGTTTTCAAAATGTGGCTCTCGCCTTAGGGCCGCGCACATTCGTCTTCACAGCTTGCAAAAAGTTTCCCTGATGGACGGCGGGACGTTTTCAAAATGTGGCTCTCGCTTGAAACCCGCGCACACTCGTCTTGAAAATTTTGCAACAGTTTCACGTATGGAGGGCGGGCAGTTTTCACAGTGTGGCTCTCGCCTTCGCACCGCGAGCATTCGTCTTAAAGTGTGCAAGAGTTTCACGGGTGGAAGGCGAGCCGTTTTCAAAATGTGACTCTCGCCTAAGCTCCGCGCGCATGCGTCAAAATTGTGCAACAGCTTCACGGATGGAGGGCGGGGCGTTTTCAAAATGTGATTTTTGCCTCAGCGCCACGCGCATTCTTCTTACATGCTTACCAGAGCTTCACGGATGGAGGGCGGGCAGTTTCAAAGTGTGGTTATCGCCTTAGCTCCGCGCGCATTCGTCTTCACGGTTCGTGAAAGCTTCACGGATGAGTACGGTTTTTTCCAAATGTGGCTCTCGCCCCATAATCACGCGCATCCCATTTACAAGTTCACGGCAGGTTAACGGACTATTACGGTTGGCGTCCCAGGAGTTGGGTTCCGGCGCGAGTTCGGCGCCAGGGCGCAACAGTCACGTCCGTTCGCGGCGTTGAAATCCCAGGAATGTCCTGGCCCGATTCAGGATGGTCAGGACGCAACAGCAAAGTTAGAGCTGATCCGCGGCATTGGAATACAAGGGATTGTGTGTGGGATACAATACATTGGAATACAAGGGATGTCCCAGAACCGCGGTGGGCGCCGCGCGCTCTTTCAGGCAGCGCGCGGCGCCCACCGCGGCCTCCCGGTCTCGCTCCAACAGAAGGGCGGCAACCGCTTGTTGCTCACGTTTGTGAGCAAGATCTCTGCCCTTTATCACCGTTTCCCCAAGCCTCTTCCTTTCCTCAGCTTCGCGCCGCTCATTCACGCGTAACCCGGCGCAGTTGCGCGAGCTAGGGGTAGCGCGCGTCGGGCGTGAGAAGTTAAGGTTGCAGACGCCGCGGATGTCAGAGCACCCGAAACAGACAGACTTATTGCACTGTCCCGATAAGCCAGGACACCGCGATTCTGGGACCACAGCGCACTTCGGTCCATAGTTGGCGCACTTGTCGTTGATGCGCACGCTGAAGGAACTCGGCCTGCCCGAAAAATCAGACAAATCAAATGCCTCAGATCGCGGTCTTGGGGCCCTGGGCCTGCCCCTCTCGGCGCTCCTCGCGCGGAGAGAGCGGGCGCGTAAATCTGGCGCCCCAGACATTGAGGTCGGCGCTCTCTGACTCGTCTGAGGAAGGCGCGGTGGGGGCCCGGGAGCATAGCTGCCGAGCGCTCCCCCCAGAGCGAACTCAGGGTTGCACTCCGAGACGCCGCCGGATCTACTTCGCTTCCCGAGCGGCGAGGTCGTTGAAAGACGAACAGGCTCACGTCTCTGCTTGCTCGTCGTCCTTCTGGGGCCGCTCACGAACTCCTCATCTATGACCCGCTCCAAATTCAGTTCCAAAGACTCGCCAAACGGAACCCCGGCATCCTCGCCGCGCGCGAGGGGCACCTGCGCAAAGGGTTGGAATTCGCCCGATGGAACAGGAGACGCACGGTTATGGACCTCACCCCGCCCCAATTACGTGGCCAATGATCACCGCGAAAGCCGATGGGCCTGGGCGTCGACCTGCGGAAACAAAAAAACTTCCCCCGACGGAATTGGCCCCACATCGGGGTCGCCGTCCGAGGGGTGAATTGGAACATCAGGTTAGTCAACGGATGGTACGAGGTCCTCTCAATCTTCTCTGTCTCGATCGGGTCGCGCGGTGCCCTCGATCTTCGGAATACGAGGGCGAGGCTCGTCATCGAATGAAAGATTCCAGCTGATCTTGGAGGGTGGACGTCGGCTCGATTTCCCGACATAATCGGCAGAACTCTGATCAGGAACATCCACGCTCATACCATGGCGTGGTTCTGCTTTAGGGCGCACATCATCTTTGGATAGCCGGAACATAGTTACCCCATCTGGCAGACTACTTTCGTCGAACATCGAATCTGTGGCTGGTAGCCAATATTTTGCCAACTCGTTGATGAGATGGGCTCTTTCTTGGCCATGCTGGTAGGCAAAATGTGAACATGATCGTCGCACAACTGCTATCCTTCATCTTCTTCCTGTAGTAGACCCTTGATCAGGTTATCTTCAACGTAGGTGATGTACGCTTCAATGCCATGGCTAAATGAATATGATGGTGTCCGTTAAGCTGAGGCTAGCAACAACATATGAAGGGGGCCTGCCGGCCAGGGAAAAGCGACCGGGAGGGCGCGCGCGCGCCGGGCGGGCGGGCCGCAACCTTTTGCTTCGAGCCAACCCGCAACGGTTGCGACGCAGCTGTGGGTCAGAAGTGGGCACGGGCGGATGACTGAATCAACTCCAACTGCGCGAGGCGGAACAGACCCCCCACCATGAGCGCGAGCAGCATCGCGAGCGTGTGGAAACGACAAGGTCCCCCACACACCCGATGGCGGGACACTCGTGTTCTCCTGGACGCCAACGCGCTTGGAGCCACAATGTTTGCACCACTTCCACCATCCCTCGCTCTTGGCACACAAGTAGTTGGTACATGTCCAACGCGGCTGCCAAGAAAACTGCTTAGTCTTCCTATATGCCCCTATCGCGCGGGGCCATCAAAAGCGTGGAAACGAAAAGGGGAAAAAACGAGCCAATCCTGGCCTGCAACAGCAATGCCGTTCTGAAGTTCGCTGTTGCAAGTTCCTCCTCCGAAGACGTCGGAACCAGAACAGTTTCCTCCTCTTCCTCCTCGTCCTCATCCTCCTCGCCCTACCCCTCCCTCCTCACATCCTCCTCCTCCTCCCTCTCCTCTTCCTCCTCCTCTTTCTCCTCCTCCTCCTCCTCCTCCTCTTCCTCCTCCTCCTCCTCCTCCAACTCCTCCTCCTCCTCCTCTCCTCCTCCTCCTCCTCCTCCTCCTCCTCCTCCTCCTCCTCCTCCTCCTCCTACTCGCCCTCCTCCTCCGCCTCCTCCTCCTCCTTCCCTCCCTCCCTCCCTCCCTCCCTCCCTGCTTCCCTCCCTCTTCTCCACCACGTGCAGCATCCAGCCCCGCCCCTGGTGCACCGCCAGGAAAAGCCCAGATGCGCAGCTTCTGGAGCTACGGTTGGCACACGCGAGAAGAAATGCTGCGACAGCCCCAGACTTCCTAGGGGTGCTCTGGTGCTTCTGTGCGCTCCCGGGGCCAGCGTGGGAGGCAGACTTTCCGCGGGGGCACCCGCTGGCAGGCTCGTTTCTTACGTGGTGCGTCCACTGCGCCCTGGGCCCCGGAGGAGCGGTGGCTGTGAACATCTTCCCCCCGCCGTGCCTCGGGCGGGGGCGGACAGACAGCCATGCCCCCCATTCTAGGGCAACGAAATCTATACATATCCACTGCTCCCAGGCCAGGCCCATCCTCAACCCCGCAGCGGTGTATACGCCACGCCCTCCTGGCTTGGCCAGGAGGGTGCATACACAGCTCCTGGGTTCAAGATGGGCATGGTCAGGGAGCAGTGGATATGTATAGATTTCGTCGCCCGACATTCCCTCGTGACCCGAGGGCCACGCCGGGGCACGACTCCGAGGCGGCGGCCCTGGCCGATCCCAGAAGTTCTGCGAGGCGCACAAGGCTGCCACCTCTCGCTCACGCCCGCCGCCTTCCGCCGGACTGCCGCCGGACGTCCGCGCCGACCCAGACCCCCGACGCCAGGCTTTTTCTTCGCAGCGTCGACCCCCAGAGGTCTGGGCCCCCTCCCCGTTGGCCCCGCGCCGCTTCTTGACGGCCCCGAGGCCCGGCGAGGGCCCCTGGAGGCCGAAACGAGCGACAAACCTCCCGTCGCGATAAAAATCGCGACGCGAGGGGGGGGGGGGGCCGGGGACGGGCCCGCCGCCAGTCGGCAACCTCGGGCCTCCGCCGGCCCCCCGCAGGGGAGCGAGCGGTGACGGAGAAGCGGGGCCGGTTTCTGCCGGAGCGCCCCCCCTCGGGGATGGACAGAACCCCCTTTAGTAAAACGTGGTTTAGTGAGAACGACCTCGGGCCCAAACCTGGCGGGCGCAAGCCTGGAAAGTGACGGCCGCGGCGCCCTCTCGAGAACCGAAGACGGACACTTCACCAATCGACGTGTCAGGGTAGGAGGTCTGTCCACCCCCGACCCCCTTGGCGGTGGCCAGGCCTTGGGGCCCTGCCCCAGCTGGGCGGCCGTCAGCGCCCGCCCCACGCGCTGCGCAGCGAAGCCCTTGCGGGCTGCGGCCTGGGGTCGGGTTGGGCATGTTCTCCTACAGGCCGCTTCTGGAGGGAAACTTTCAAAAGACTCAATTGGTATTCAAAAATAATCCAGAACGGCATAGTTGAACAAAAAAACCTTGCGTCCCCGGACGCTTGTTCGACTAGTTTTGAACATTCCGCCGCCTGTAGAGGGACATGCCTGACAGAATCCTGGGGGAACAAGAAGGTGCCCGACTTCCCCACTCTGTGGACCTGTCCCAGGCGCGCTCTGGCCAGGATTTCGAGGCGAGTCCGGCCGTGGTTGGAATAGCATGTGGGACCTGCTCTAGACCAGGAGCATACCGTTCACGGATCTACCTTTTCTCCGACCTTGCATCGCGCCGAACGCAACGGCCACGTTGCCCATAGACGTATCCACCCTGAAAGTGTCTATCGTTGTCATGGCACACAATGTGTCCATAGGCGCTCTTGGCTAGGACGTGAGAACGGTGCTTGGCATCGGCCCCAGATGTTGGTCTCTGCTGGAAGCACGTAGGCTTGGCCCTCCAAAGCCGTGGTGACGAGGGAAGGGCCACGGTGTCCGCGCAGCCGATACCACTATGCTTAGGTCGGGCGTGTCCCCCTACAGGCGGATGTTGGACGAAAAAATAGAAATACGCAAAAAAATACCCCAAACATGCTCAACAAAAGTAGTCCACAAATCGTCCCATACTATTTTTGAGCTATGTTTGAAGATCCCCCTGTAAAGGGACAAGCCCGATTTAACTCTATACATCGCCGTAACGAAAGTTTCTTTCAATTTGCCTTTTGGAATGACGCGCTCGTGCGGAGTAGTTCGGAGTAGTTCTACTAAAACTACTCCGCGCGCAATCGCATCCCGCTCGGTAATCTAGATGGTGTGGCGCGAAGTAGTCTCCGATCCCGTTTCGGGGAAACAGAGTTATTCACGTCTCCGGGATCGGAAACTACTCCGCCGAATGATCCCAGCATCATGTCATGTTAGGAATAGTAGAGGAAAGAGAACTATGCACATACACCGATTCTGGCCAGACCCATCCTGAGCCCAGGATCGGTGCATACGCCCTCCTACCTTGGCCAGGAAGGCACATGCACCGATCCTGGGTCAAGGACGGGCCTTGCAAGGATCGGTGCATGTGCATAGTTCTCTTCGCCCGAACAAGGGGGTGGAGGGAGGGGGGAGGGCTTCTTAGAAGGAGGCTGCTTCTTAGAGGGCGCCCGCCTCACATCTATAGATACAAGGCCCGCGCCTTCTAAGAAGCAAAGGTGCTTCCAAGAAGCCCTCCCCCCTCCCCCCCTCTTCGCCCGAAATATTGAGAGGGATGGGAGAAATCTTCCTCATAGCAAATTAAAGAAATGTCTGTCACGGCGGTGTACTCCATGGCCCTCTCCCGAGGGGCGCGCTCCGACCAGGCAACCCGAAGGGGCGAGCCCGGCCGTGGCGGCGAGGGAGGGGCGCAGCGGCCGCCTAAGGCCGCGAGCCCGGGGGGGAGGAGGAGGAGGCGGAGGAGGAGGAGGAGGAGGAGTGAAGGAGGAGGAGGAGGAGGGGGAGGAGGAGGAGGAGGAGGAGGAGGGGGAGGAGGAGGAGGAGGAGGAGTGAAGGAGGAGTAGGAGGAGAAAGAGGAGGAGGAGGAAAGAGGAGGAGCAGGAAAGAGGACGAGGGGGAGGAGGAGAAGGAGAAGGGGGAGGAAAGGGAGGAGGATGAGGAGGAGGAGGAGGAGGAGGAGGAGGAGGAGCGCCACCATCCACCGAGACCACTGCAGTCGCACTGCAGGTTCCACCTCGTCGCCGACGGCTCCAAACACCCCAAGCAGCCGAACGAAGACGCATGGGCAGGTATTATCGTTGGGGAAGACAGCTGCGGCTTCACATTCCAAGGAGCGATCATCGGGAAGCACAAGAGCGTCACCGACATCGCCGTGCAGGACAACAGCAACGTGGAAACTATATCCACCACCGTCGAGATCACCGGACTCGTATGGGCCTTCGCCTGGGTCATCCACCGCAACCTCGACGACATTGGGACGATCTCGACGGACTCGCTGGGAGCCCTGCAGCTTGCGAAGAGGATCGCCTTCACCAACCACGATCGCGACCTCGTCAGGACCCTCTGCATGCTCTACGACATGGTCAGCCAGAAGATCGACCTGCAACATGTCCATGCCCACGAGCATAACCCATGGAACGAAGTTGCCGACGCGGCCGCCAACCACGGACGCATCACCCCCAGTACCAGTTCCACAGCAAGAATGGGCAAGTATAACGGACGGCACTTATCAACAGGACTGGGAGTCCTTGCTCGACGCAGACCAGAACACCAAGGAGGCCTACCCCACCTTCGGACAAGGCAGTCTCACAGCAACCACCTGTCCCGACGGCCGCCGAAGCTACCACAAAAGCCCGACATCACAAATCGGTCTTTCGCTCTGCTACGAGTCCGCCGATCACTCCTCAAGATGACCCGCATTGTCAACAAGCGGTGGACCACCAACGACTATGGTGTGAAGCGGCTCCGATACACAGCAAAACTACTCACGCAAGACGCCATGCTCCCCAACCCAGCGGACGCGGGGCCCTTGGCCAACATCAACGCCCACGCCCAACTCGTCGCCACATCCATCATCTTCGGAGCAGCGCCGAGACACAAGGCAACACAAACCAACTACATCTACAACACCAAGCACTACTACGATACTATCATACAATTCCTCAAATCAACCAAACCTCTACTCAGGAAGTGGATCGAAGAGAACCGCGATGCCTTCCTGGAGAAGACCGCCGAAGAGATGAGCACCGCCATCGACGATCACGCACCGCGATGAGAGGCCCTACGTGCCAAACGTCTGTTGGCCTTCGGAGGAAGCAAGCCTAAAAAGCCGCCCACGTCCATCATCCGCAGCACCGTAGACGGCAAGCCCCTCGCAACCAAGACCGAGAGCGCCCTTGCACATTACGGCAAGATCGAGATGGGCATTATGACTGACGCCGATGGGGTAGCCAAGGACTGCAACGAGCGCATCTGTACAACGCGGCCGACCCCGAAGATTCAGAACATCATCCCGCGACACCAGCTCACTAGCCAGCTGGCAGCCGCCGAGAGAGGACGACGAGGAGGACCAGACCAGCTTACAGACGACATGGCCAGAGCAGACCCCGAAGGGATGGCTCGTCTTTTACATCCCATCTTGGTCAAGACGCAGATCGAGAGCACCGAGCCCATCGCCGCCAACTGAGGGTACTCCACGCACTTCTACAAGGGACAAGGGGGCCATAAGAACAGCAGAAGTCCTACCGAGGCATCCTGCTCAACAACACCGTCGGGAAGATGCACAGCAGCTTTCTACGCTCGCGAATGAAAGGCCTGCTACCCAACTTGCTGGAAGCGACGCAGTGTGGAGCGCGACCCAAGATGGCAATTGACTTCATTACCCACACCTCCCTCGCCTTCATCGCCGACTGTCAGAGCAGGGCCAGATCGGGCAGCATCACATTCCTCGACCTCAGGGAAGCACTCCACTCCGTAATCAAGGAATTCTGCATGGAACTCCCTACCTCCGCCGACGAACTCAACGACCTCATCGAGCGGATAGACACCCCAGCATTCCTCAAGTCCTCTCTCATTGACAGACTACAGCAATCAGCAGGCAACAACCAGAACATCGATGACGAGCACCTCTGCCGCATGATCGCAGACCACCACACCTCCAATTGGATGGCGGCCAAGAGCGCCAAGCACTACCAGCTACCAAGGACCGGCACCCGACCTGGCGCGCCGTACTCCGAGGTTGCCTTCAACACGCACTTTGCCATCATGCCGCGGGCAATCGATCGCGCACCTGCACAAGCCGCAGACAGCAACCAACCACCAGGAGGCCACGACATCGAGGCATGCGCGCCACCACTCTTCTCGGCAACACCTCACGACGGAGGCGCACTCAGGCACATGTCCTTCGTCGACGACCTCACAGACTACAATTCGACCTCTAGCGCCTGCGACCTGATCCAGACGACACGACTCTCAGCCACCAGACTTTGCACAGCAGCATACCAGCACGGACCCAAGCCACACCCAGACAAGACAAAAGCTATCCTCATGCACTACGGCAGCGGGGCCAGGAAACAGCGCCGAGGATCGCCAGGGACAAGGTCACCTTCATCGAGCTCGAGAACCTCTCCATCAAAGTCCAGCTTGTGACCCAGCAGAAAGCCCTCGGGACCACCATCGCGGCGGGAGGGGTCTCATGGGCCCCGAGATATGCCTCAGAGTCAACAGAACAGAACTCTCGGAGCAGCAAGACCACTCGAGAAGCAGATCATCCGCCGCAAGAAGCTATCGACGAAGGCCAAGCATAAGTACATGCACGCCCTCTCGACATCGCCGCTGACCTACAACCACCATATCTGGAACTGCCTGAACAAGAAGGACCGCAACCACATAGCTGCCAAGTACATGGGCCCCTACCGAGTTGACGTAACCAACATCGAGGCAATCGCGAAGACGGGCATCCCCGACGTCGACACGCACCAGACGGCAGCCCGACTACGCTACCTACCGCGTCCCCTGAACCATGCACCCGCAGCCCTACTCCAGCTACTTGGTAGTCAGCGGCAACGCCGAGGCACCTGGCGCCACCTTCTCAAGCAGGAGTCTACCTTTCTCAGAAAGCACCTCCCACAAGACAGATGGCCGAGCAAGAACCAGCAAGACCGCGGCATCATCAACTGGGCCCGCCAGAAGCCCAAGCTCTGCACCAGTGCCGTCAAGTCCGCTACAAAGGCCTGCCTGCACCACACGAGAGACGAGGCTCAGCTTGCGAAGTTCCTCCATCGAGATCGACCAGTCCGACGACAACGCCAATGCCACGTACGTCTGCTACACCTGCGGCCGCACAGCCACCAAGCAGGGCATGGCAGTGCACATGGGAAGAGACCACCCCGACTGCGAGAACCCTCGACGTCGGGCAACGGGTACGGCGTGCAGATGCTGCCAGACGGAGTCCCATATCCTACCGAGACTACTGAAGCACCTGGCGGTCGCCCACCGATGCCGCAAGTCCTGGTATGCTTGGCACACCATGGTGATGGAACCGCTGACCGAGCAGCAAATAGCAGACAACCTCGAAGTCATAGCCACGATCATGGCAGCAAACAAGAAGAGCGGTCGACATGCGACCTTCAGCGAGATACCCGCCTACAAGATCGACATCACGCCGCCCCCACTCTTGGAGACATCGCCTGCCCTTCCGAAGGTCTACGCCGCCATCCAATCCACGACACCTCAACCTACTGTATCAGAGCCACCTGCACCAGCCGAACGACAGCAAATGCTATTCATCACGGACCGCCCTCGGCAGCCAGGCGACCTCCAACTGATCATGGCCACCAGCACCGTCACCAGCGCGAGTGGACTGGATTACAGCACGATCGACCCCGACAACAACCACCAAGCACAGACATCGGATCACGGCTTACAGTTCATCCACGACAGGATCATGAAATGAGAGATCGCCGCCATATACGCCGAAAGTCCGAGAAGAACCTGGTACCGCCACGACAACGCCGAGATCACGCCAGCAGCCGTCGCTCTACGCCATGGGGACCACCCGACGCCTGAGAAAAGATCGCCAACGAGCTCTACTCAGCCAACTCCGCCACAAGAGAAGTCATCACTACCATACACGCTGCCTCTGAAGCGAAGATACCCTTCCTCGCCATCCACGCCGAGGACTCCATCTTCTGGACGCTTCCCGAGAGCCACATCATCAAGCACACAGCCACGACGAGCAGCACGGCCAACCACTACGTGCTTGGTACCATCAAGATGGTTTCTAACCCGGCAGGTCCCACACACGAAATCAAGCTGGAAGAGACCCCCGCTGACGGCTTCGACGTCACCGCAGCCGCCCAGCTCGACGAGATGATCATAGCGAGATGGGGCTTTCGACTATCCAGCGCAGCGCCAACGAATACCATGAACACCAGCTACGACAGGTACTTCAACTACGACCAGCATTGGGACACCTCCTGTGGCGACAACAACGAATACCCCGCCAGCAACCACACCGCCACCAGCTACAGCCGTAACTACCACAAGCACGACTACGAGACGCCACGCAATGGAGTGTGCCCTAGTACGGAAGCAATCGCAGACACCACGGAGCATGGTCTGAAATCAGGTGTTAGAGCGCAAAGTCCTAGTGTGCCAACAGGGCTACTAGGCACTACGTCGCCATGTATGCTGGTAGGCGTTAGAGCGCATAGTCCTAGTGTGCCATTGCGGCAACTAGGCAATATGTCGCCACGTGAACATGGGGGCCCAGCGACCGATCGGCATCCAGCACGGACTGAAAGAGCAAATGCTCAAGAGTTCAACGCCCGAGGGCAAAACGACCACAGGCCCTGTCAAACGGCACCCATGAAGGCGAACGACAGCGACAATGAGAACAATCATCTGCACGGCAGTCCGCAGCCAGTAGGCCGAAGGGCGGGCTGCCAGCAGGACAAGTATGACATGGAGCATCGCTCGGCTCGGAGTCCACCCACGGAGACAAACAACAGCGACAACGAGCACACCCTGACGAGCGGCAGTCCGCAGCCAGGAGGCCGAAGGGCGGGCTACCAACAAGACAAGAATGGCATGGCGCATCGCCTGGCTCTGCGACCACCTACGGAGACCTACAACGGCGACAACGAGCACCCCGTGACGATCAGCAGCCCGCAGCCAGCAGGCCGAAGGGCGGGTTGCCAGAAGGACAAGAACCGCAGCGACAACGAGCACACCGCGATGAAGGGCAGCCCGCAGCCAGGAGGCCGAAGGGCGGGCTGCCAAGAATACATCACAGCTGATACGAAGCGGCAACCAGCACAAGGAAAAGCACAGAAGACGAGGTCGGGCGGCTCGCAGCCCAAGAGCGGCCAAAGGGCGGGTCGTCAGACCGCGACGGCAGACGAGATAGCGCACCCTGCTCCATGGCAGGCCCCCACGGAAGGGCCGCCGCCTCGCGAAACAGGCGAGGCAGGGCCACCGACCAGCCTGGTCGGAAGAGGCCCACCAAGACAGGACAAGAAGATCAGAGAAGGCTGAGCGCCCCTCGGCTCGCGAGCCGAAGGGAGGGGCGCTCTTCGCAGAGAGGAAGAAGATCGAGTGCGTGCGCCCACCGGCTGGCGCCCCGAGGCTTCGGCGCCGCGTCGGCGGCGCTGCAGAGCCTGTATTGAAAGGGTCTTGAAAGGAGGAGGAGGAGGAGGAGGAGGAGGAGGAGGAGGGGGGAGGAGGAGGAGGAGAAGGAGTGGAGGAGGAGGAGGCGTGGAGGAGGAGGAGCAGGAGCAGGAGGAGGAGGAGGAGGCCCGTTCTGACCAGGATTTCGGGGCGGATCTAGCGGTGGCCACGAGGGGGTCTCCCATGGGAGGCCCGAAAAAAGGGAAAAAGAGGCAAGGGTAGTGGTATCAGTACCTTTCCTCCTCCTCCTCCTCCTCCTCCTCCCGCTCCGAGAAAGTGAGAGAGAGAGTGAGAGAGAAAAAAAAAAAAAAAAAAAAAAAAACGAGAGAGAGAGAGAGAGTGAGAGAGAGATATAATTATAGAAACAAAAGAGAAAGAAAACCTCTTTTCGGGTCAAGGCCTTCCGAGCCTTCTGAGAAGGCCCGCCCCCTCTGCATTCCCCTGGGCCCGCCACGGAGCAAAGGTGCGTCAGGCTCCTGTCGTGACGCCTTACGCTCTGGTCCCGAAACCGCGTGGATCGCTCGAGCTTTCGAGTAGGGGATCGACACAGACTGGATTCCCCCCAAAAGTCATCTGTTCGCCGAATATACAACAAAATACATAGGAGTGCTCGTAGATCTACAAAGAGTATGTTTTCCGAAGTTTCAACGAAGAGCCCAACGTTGGGGTTAATCCATTCTGCAGTCGAGCCCCCACTCGAAGCCTGAACGACCGGGGGCTCCCCGATGGCGCGGATCGTTCGATGTATGTCGGCCCATCCAGGGCCGCCAGCGGCGCTCAACCTCGAACGCCCGCGCGGGAACCGCCGCCGCGCCGCCACGACTCAGGAGAGACAGAAGTACCACTACCACCAGCTAGGGGGGTGGCCGCTCCCTCCCCTCGAGCTGGTGGCGCCTCCTTCGGGGAGCTCTCTGGAGGCATGCCCGGAACGAGGTGCCACCAGCTCGAGAGGGTGGGACAGCCACCCCCCTAGCTGGTGGTAGTGGTACGGCAGGTTCGTGTCGTGACGACCCCGGCGTTGGTTTTTGACACCGCAGGGATCGTTCAACCTTGAACGATCGGCCGCTGCCGCAACGTCCGATCGTTCAACATCGACCGATTCTAGGCCGCCCGCGGCGTTCAACCTTGAACGCCCGCGCTGGGGTCGCCGCTGGTCGACACGACGCGAACCTACCGTACTCTTGTCTCTGGCGAACGACGCGGACCCTGCCGCGGCGGTCAGTGCTCTTCCTCCTCCCGGCTGCCAGCGGGTAGAGCTCGGCGAGGGCGGCAGCGGGCAGCACGCCGGCCACGTGCTCGCTCGGCGGCTCCCGCGCCCGCAGGAAGCGCCGCAGGGCGGCCAGCTCCCAGGACCGGAAGGTGACGACGGCGAGGCGGCCAGAGGGCTCCTCACGAGCGGACAGATAGATAAACGCGTCCATGACGTAGCGTTGCCAGCCCGCGGCGGTCACGCGCCCGTGCTCGCGGGCATGTCGCGTGGCCCCTCTCGGGAGCCCTCGGGGGGAGCCCTCGGGAACCCGACGGGGCAGGTGTGGCTCCCTTGTCGGCCCCGCGGCCCCACGGGGCTGTGTGACCCCGTGTTGGCTATGACTCCTCCTCCTCCTCCTCCTCCTCCTCCTCCTCCTCCTCCTCCTCCTCCTCCTCCTCCTCCACCAACAGAAAAGACGGCGGCATATCCGTACCTGCGCCCTCGCGGTCTGGACCGCCAGGGCGCGATCCCACGGATCGCACGGATACGCACGGATACGGTCCGCGCGGGGCACACCTGCGAGATAGCGCCCCGCACCTGCGGGGTCGCGACCGCGGGGCCCGGCCCGCGAGGCCGCGGACACGGGTATGTTTTTTGGGAGGCACCTACTGGGAGGTTTTCGTCGGAAGGATGAGGGGGGATCGAGCCGCCTCGGAGGGCGGCTACGCCGGAAAAGGCCGCGGATCAAACCGGAGCGAGCCGGACGAAGCGGGGTTGAGCAGGGTTGCGCAGGATCAAGCCGGATGAAACCGGATGTCGGTCCAGGGCAAAACCAGACCCTAACCTCTGAGGAGTTGCATACGAATGTTTTTCGCCCGCGAGCTCCAGCAATTCGAAGGCGTCCGCCAGCAGCTGCTCGAACAGGGGCACCTCCTGCCGGCGGCGCGCGTTCGCGGGGCTGGCGCGGGGGGGGGTCCTGCGGAGGGCGCAGGGTTTTTTTTTTTTTTTGAAGGGGCCCACGGACACACAAAAGCATAGATACAAATCCCAAGGTTCCCCATATTTCGATGTACACACACACACACACACATATATATATATAGACACACCTATATATATATATATATATATATATATATATATATATATATATACATGTACAAGACCCCATATTTCTATGTAGTAGACGTATGTATAAATAATGCAAGGGACTACGCGCACGACCCTGGATGGCGATAGCCCCCGCGCACGGGATAAAAAGCGAGAGTGGCGAAAGCCCCCGCGCACGGGATAGGTGGACAATGATTCCGAAGGCATACAAAACATCAAAGTGATTTGCCAACTGATAGAAGCTTATCGTACAAAGTAATACACAATATTAGCAAACTCGCTCGCCCCAGTGAGGCGGTTGGGATGGCGGACGGGACCGAAAAAAATGAACACAACTGCGATCACGGTCGTGATCAAGAACGGGCGCGAGGCACAATTAACTGCAAAGGAAAACATTATGCAAGGGCCTACGCGCACGACCAGGGATGGCGATAGCCCCCGCGCACGGGATAAGAAGAGAGAACGGCGAAAGCCCCCGAGCACGGGATATTTGGACAACGCATCGCGATGCCGAAGGCATACAGAGAATCAAAATTATTTGCCAACTGAGAGAAGCTCATCATACAAAATAATGCACCAGATTAGCAAACTCGATCACCCCATATTTCCCCGCATTGGGATATGGCGAGCGATCACCTTGACAATGAGCTACCAAAACTGAGAAAGGACTTGCCAGAAAGTCCCCGGTTAATGAGAGCAGCGGCAGACAGCTGGTCTTCGCTAGCTGGCGCGCGAGGCGACCGGTCTTCTCGTGGCGGCGCACGATGGCGCCGCACTTCCAACGGCCATGGCGCTGCGCCTCGGCGAGGGCGCGGCACCTGAGGGAAAAGTCGGTCGACGCGCCCCCGCACCTCAAAGCGCGGGGGCACAGCCGCAGCCGCTGCAAACCAGCAGCAACAGATAGCTTTGTCAAAAGGACCTCGAACTCACGGGCTGCGAATGGGAAGATCGGGCCGGCGGGCGGCGCGGCCGCCTTGGGGTCCCGAAGAAGCCGGGCAGCCCGGCGTCTCGATGCCGCGCCTGCGCCGCAGGTAACCGCGTCGTCGCGCTCGCTGGACTTCGCGGTCACGGAGGGCGGGCAGTCCGATGGAGCGGCTGGCACCAGGGCAATCGAGACCTGGGGTTGGGCCGACGTCGCGGAGTGCCGGAGGCGCGTGGCGTTGCAGACCATCACGCTCAGCAGTTCCACGAGCTGCAGGTAGCCTAAGGTCGCTGCCACGGCGGCCCCGAAGATGCACGCGCGAGGTATCCGGGATGCGAGACCCTGGTCAATCATCAGCAGAGCGGCCTGCCAAGGGCAGGGGCCCCGCTGGCCCCCCGGAGCCGCCTTCGAGAAGCCCTTGAGCGCGAGGCGGGCCTGGGGGACATCCAGCGCGTCCTTCAGGTTGATGCGCTCATCGAAGCATGCCCGCACAGGGCTGCGCGCGCGGCGAAGATCCCCTCCCCTGACAGGAAGATGTGATGCAGGTAGTCCACCATGAGCTTGTCCCTCTGCTGCGCCGTGCGCCACTGATAGCGGCGCTTGTCCCCGAAGCGCAGCACCTCGGCGGCAGCCCGGGCGCAGTGCCGCTGCGTCAGCGGCTTCACGCGGCGCCTGGCGAAGAAGTCCTCGCGGGCCACGTCGTCGCGCGCGGCCCGCTGCCGGCCCGCCGTGGCCCGGGGGCGGCGCGGCCGCGAGCTGGCCACAGGCGGCAGAGCTGGTCTGCTGGCCGAAGCGGCGCCTGCGATCACGCTCGGCAGCCTGCGCCTGCGCGACGCTGCTGCCCTGGTCGAGCAGGTCGGGCCTCCACTCCTGATGGCCAGCGGGTGGACAGACGGGGGTCTGGCGCCCGCTCCCAGTCGGAGCACCTGGCAGCGTCTGCCAGACCCAGACGAGTCTCTCCTCGGCATTCAGGACGAGAGCCATGGGGAGTCCTGCTGAGGGAGCGCACGCGCGCAAGACGCTGGCCCACTTTCGAGCCAGAGCCTGCGGATACCGACCTGCTAGACGAGTTTTCCAGACTGTGCCCTGTCCAGGGCCGAGTCGCACCAGGCCCTCGAGGATCTCGTGAACATGGTCACGGGCGCAGCTGGACCCAAGGGCCTGGAGAGGCTTCAGGTCGGTAACAATCGTGGTGGGCTTCAGATAGCCGCAGTTGTAATGGCAATAGTGCATGGCGACGACGTAATGTCGATGGCGGGATAGAAAAGCCGTAACTTCAGCGCAAGTCCACAGACGGGATGACGAAGGGCCCTCGACTGCACATCTTACTCCGTGCCGAACGCAGAGGCGAAGTGCGTCGATCGTGAACTTGACAGAGCCACTGGCAGAGGCAAAATGCTTGTCCCAGCAACGGGCCGGAATGGCCGGGCTGACGGGGGGCGCACGGCGTGCCAAGATGGACGCGCCACACCTCGCGGAGAACGATCAGAGAGCGGATCACTTGGACGACGCTCGGGTCGGTCAGATCGCGCCACGACCCCCGCGAGATGTCGACTGGGGCCCAGCTTTGGAGACCCTCGTCGAGGCAGGCGGCCGCAAGACGGGCGCAGCCGGCGCAAAGCTCCAGCGCGCGTCGCTGATGGCGCCGGGCGCGGGGCTGAGCTGCGAGGCGATGCGGTCATGCCCCGTCGTCGGCGTCGGTCGCGGGGCCAACGCACCTCCTTGCCCATTTATGTCAGTCGCGGTCGACGACTGTCGTGGGGCCAACGCTCCTCCGCGCTTGTTTATATCAGTCGCGGTCGACGACTGTTGTGGGGCCGACACTCCTCCACGCTTGTTTATAGTCGCGGTCGACGACTGGTCGGGGTCGGCTGGGTCGGCTGGCAAGTCGCGGGCGGCTCCTCGCCGCGTCTGGCCTGGCGCCAGCTCGAAGCGGCCCGCCGCCCTGGAGTCGTACTCGGTCGTGTTCCGCTTGCTCTCGGAGTAGCGGTGGCGTGGCGCTGAATGCCAGCAGCGAGCTGTCGAGCCGCCGATTCGCGGGCTACCTGCCGCAAGACCTGGCCGGCACGTCTGCCCTTGTCGAAGGCCATCATCGAGAAAGGTTGTCGATGAAAGGTTGTCGCCTATAGAGAGGACGCGGGGCCAGTGGACCGCCGCCGACCGAGCGGCCCGCCTGAGGCCCAGCAAGGTCGCCCAGCCCTCGAGGACGCGGATGGGCGCCGCGAAGAGGAAGGCGCCGCGGACGACCAGCTGCCATCGATGCGCAGCGAAGGCCGAGTCGGGAAGAGGCGGGATGCCACCGCGGCAAGCCGCGGCCGCGGCGGCCTAAAAGTCAGTCCTGCCGACGCGCCGGCGCCGCTCGGCGCCGCGCCCAGGAGGCGGCTGGCCCAGCCCTTCGAAAGCAGCGTCGTTGTCGCCGGCCGCGGAGGGGCTGGCCAGCGCGGCGACCTCGGCGCCCGGGGGTCGCCTGGGTCGTCGGCATACCTGTCGAGGGCGAGGAAGCGCCAACGCTCTCGGTGGGCCCCGATGTCGCGCAGTTCGCCAGGGTCGAAGTGCGAGGTGGCCACAGCGTCGTAGCCCCACATGCTGGCGTCGGAGCAGCGCGCCCATGGATGCCAGCTAGCACCGAGGGACCCCGGCGAGGGGGATCAGAGCCTTAGGGTCAGCTCGCGCAGCTGCTCGAGGCTGAACTTGCAGTAAACGCTGGATGGGTACACGATGCGACATAGGGAGATCAGGGCGGATCCAATGGAACACGACGCGGCCGAGAAACACCTCCATGGCCGATGGCGCGCTGCCGCGGCGGTCTATCAGGCAAGTCACCGCCCGGCGCGTCCGCCAGGCGCGCCCGAGCGGAGGCACCGCCCGGCCCAGGAAGAAGTCGAAGCGCACGCCGCAACACACGAAATCCCGCGTCGCATAGCAGACCTCGCGGCACTGCCGGCCGCGCCCCTCGAACTCGCACAGAATGGCCTTCAGCGCTGCATCAGCCAGGCTGCGCGGCGACCCTGCCACGTGCGAGTTGTCGACGCAAGAGGGGCCAGCCCGCTCGCCCGCGCCACGTCGGGCGCAGGGAGCTCGCTCGGTTACCATCCTGACGTCGTCGGGGGGATGGACCGCACACGGGCGATGCCGACGCGGGCGACGCCCACTGTGATGGCATTGCACACGAAGAGCGACCAGCTCCAGCCCATGGCGAGCCCCTGGAAGCACGGGTACACGATGGTCTTAGGGCTCACCTTGACGCACCTCCGGCTCATCTCGTCGCAGACGCAGTCCGTGCCGAGCTTGCTGATGGCCATCGGGCAGTCGAAGCAGAGCCAGCTGCCATCCTCAACCACTGCGTCCGGTAGAAGCCCCGCCCAACGTCAGCGCCCGCACCATGGTACCCGGAGCCGCCCTCGAGCAAGAAGTCCGCGTCAAGGCAGAGGCCGCTGAGCGCGGCGGCGGAGCCAAGCTCGGTCTGAGGGGGGCACCAGCGCATGGCCGAGGGCCCCCGCCGTCGATGACCACGCGCAGGGCGCCGCCCTTCTCATCGACAAAGAAGATACCGGCACGGGCGCGGCATCGGACGCGCGCGCCCACGAGCCCGACGCGCACGAGCTGCTTGAACAGGTTGAGCCGCAGGGCCGGGTCGCGCTGCAGGTTGAGATCCCAGACTCGACCATGCCGCCCTGCACCGCCTGCGAGCGGTGGATGAGCTTCTCGGGGCAGCGATGGAGGCACAAGAGAGCGGATGGGCAGCGGTCGGATGCCGGCGTCGAGAACTTTTAGAAGGCGGGGCCGGGGCCGAACGGGCGACGGCCGAGCACAGTAGATGTCTTTCGACTTCAGGATAGAACGAAGCGCTTCATCGCCGCCCACGCCGAGGGGCTCGCCGAAGGCCGCCACTCGCTGATGAACACGCTGGAGCACTGATGCTCGGGCGGCGCACGCCGGCAGAACCGGGGCGAGGCACCGCGCGGCCGCCAGCGGAGCGTCCAAGTCGTTCGAAGCCACGATGGCCTGGTCGCACCGCCGACGCACGCCGCGCGAGAGCGGAGGGGCCGCGCCCGTCGGCGTCGACCTGCTACGCAGCGGCAGGGGAGAGGGACCGCCGTGCCGCCGTGAGCGCGACCAGTCCAAAAAGGAGGAGGAGGAGGAGGAGGAGGAGGAGGAGGACGTGGACGAGGGCAGAGGAGGAGGAGGGGGAGGAGGAGGACGAGGACGAGGGCAGAGGAGGAGGAGGGGAGGAGGAGGAGGAGGAGGGGCAGTTGGGCTTCGCGCGCGCCCCCCCCGAGAAGCGGACTGCGGAGGAGTCAGAGGCCGAGCGGCGCCGGGGCGAGCGCCGCCTCTCCACGGCCCGGCTGGCAGCCGCCCATAGGAGGCGTCGGCGGCCGGGGGGGGCCGCCCCGACCGCCGCGGCCGCGCCCCTCGCCGCGACCGCGCCCGCGGCCCCTGCCCCGACCGAAGCAGTCGGGAGACTCTCCATAGGGGGGAATCCCATGGGGGGGGCAGGAGGGGATCCCCCCCGTGGGATCCCCTCCTGCCCCCCCCCATGGGATCCCCAGGGGATCCTATGGGATCCCCCCCCCTGGGGATCCCATCCCCCCATGGGGTCCCCCCCCCATGAAGAGTCTCCCGAAACAAGAGCCCGCACCACTGCCGTCGCCCGTCGCCGGAGGAGGCGGGGCCGCAGCCCTGGGCGCGACGGATCTTGTCTCCTCGCGCCACGGCCGCTGCTGCTTCAGGGCGACGACCTCGCCCCTCTGGATCCGCGCGATGTCCTCGGCGCGCTCGGGGAGGATGGGGCCGCCAAAGTCGTTGGCGGTAGGGGCGACAACAGCGTCGAGGTCCTGGAAGTCGGGGCTCGGAGGGTTGCGAGCGACTGCCATCTCAATCTGCACTAGGTAGCGCACCAACATCTCGACACCGACGAGGCTGGGCAGAATCATCATGTCCTGCTGCTGGAAGGCCTGGAGGGCCTCGGTGAGCCGCCGATGTGAGCGAGTGATGCTGCTGTTGGGCGAGGTGCCCGATTTGAGAACGAAATCCAACTGGTGGCTGACCCACTCCATGCCCGTGGAGCGCAAGGTTCGCACGAACTCGAAGGTAACTCGCTGGCCACCGGGGGCGGGGCGGCGGGTCGGCTGAGATGTGCTGCAACCCCAGGGACTCCGAGGAGGTCACGAAACGCTCCTTGGTGACAGGGTCTCGGGGGTCGCCGGCGACCCGAAGGTCGCGCTTGTGGCCCGACACTAACGCGCGTCGCTGGCCTGGCCCGGCTGGAGGAAGGAGTTCGGGTCTGAGACGATGCTGGCCAGCACCTCATCCCCGAAGCTGCGAGCGGAGGGGTCAGCGACCCGCCACACTCCGCCTGCGCCGACTACTGCCGCCGCCGCTGGGGCTGCTTGCCCCAACACGAGGGCAAGCTCACGAGCCTGCTGGCGGACGCGCGCGAGGTCGGCATCGGGAACAGGACTGTCGAAGGTGTAGCTCTCATTCCGCTGAGCTGCTGGAAAGGGGCCGTCCCGCCCGAGCGCGATCACACAGTGCACGTTGAGATCGATGCGCTGGACCGAGTAGTCGGGTGTGCATCGAATCCAGACGCCAGGCGTGGGCGTCTGCACGATGAGGAGGCGATGGTGGTACCGCAATCCTGCTGGATCACCCGGGAAGTCGACGAGAACATGCGCCTCGGGGAGGT